ATACGGGTGATTCACACAATAGCATGCCTCCAAGAGTTTGCAATGTGTTGGCCAATCGCAATGCGCGAAATCTGTCGACCTTTCCAAATGTGCACTTGGTCAACAGATTTTGAGCACTGTGACTGGTCAACTGGTGTTGCAAACTCTTGGAGGTGCGCTATTGTGAAGCACCCGTATTTTTCTAACTCTCAAAAGTCGGGTGGAGACTTCACGTACAGGGAATAGACAGGAACCATGTCTCAATGCCTGATGCTTATTAGCTTCTGAGGCAGTAAAGAAGTGGCACACTGGTCATCTAAGCTGGTCAACATGCACTTTCTTTTACTTCACGTTAGCACCAAGTCATTTTACACAGCAGTCATTTTACACAGCATTCCCTAATTTTCAAACTACCGTAGTTTGGGATGTACACTAATGAGAATTCTGGCGCCACGCCATCAACTCATAATTCTCAGCAATTTCTGAATGTTCCATGGACATTCCTATGTTCAGAGCCAAAACTTTTCTCCTTTTACTGACCTGCAGCATCCAGTAGTTCTTTGTTGATCTTTTCGGTGAGTTGGCAGAGAATACCCTCCTTGCCGGCCACCCTCCTGAGTAATTCATCTCTTGGTACAACTATGTCGTCATGATCCCAGATCTCTATGTCACATCTGCATCAAAATGTTATGATTAGTGCACGGTGAAAATCCTTAATTAATAATCAGTCAATCACTCCAGCAACTACTTCAGATCTCTGAGAATCCATCTCAGATTCTGCTTTGCATATACTAGAGATCTACCCTTAGTAATCACCTCCATCAGGCACACATCCAGGGTACAGTTACGCCTATTAACACGCGTAGGATGGTTGTGCATTACACTTGGGTCCAGGAGTATACTCCCCGAGAGCATACTCTTGCTGACCCTCGGGCCGTACCCCAGCCCTTCGAGCGCTCAGGAGTATACTCATATTAACACAAGTAGCTCGCTCAAACGCACCCCCGCAATTACTTGCTTGGAAAACCCAGCTCACCGTCCTAAATCATCCCTGGACCTTCTCTTAAGGCGGATCCCCATAGCCTGGGTAGCACTATGGTTCATGATGTGGGGAGAATCTCTCCATTCCATAAACAGAGTTAAGTTGAAGGGTAGATCTGGATCGAAATTTTCAGGGGGGCCGCAAGATTTTTGTAGGGGAAAAAAACAATTTAAATTTTTTTATGCATTCCTTTATGCCCTTCTTGGGGCGAGGCTACATTTTGGGGGTGTTTAGATGCTCTTGGAAGGAAAGGAAATGAAATAAGCCAGATTGCCTTTCTCCTATTATTATAAAAAGTGGCTCTTTTTGGAGGGGAGCTGGGCATGGCCCCTGTTGTCCCATCTCCCCCATATACCCTTGGATAGGTTTTCCAACAAGCCACGCGGGGCAGATATTTTGACATTTCCAGAGGGCAGCAGATACTTAGCTGTTGCCAGCAAATTTAACTAAATATTGCACAGTAACTGTTTTGGGGGGACTAATCATTCTTTCAGTGACAAATCTTAGTCTGGTTCTGTGCCAAAGTAGCCATACTAGAAATTTCAACTTTTTCAGGTTAGCCATGTATTTAGTCAAAACAGGCCCATGCCTGTTATCCTTGCTCTGTGCTTCCTTCCTCCATGCTCTGTGTATGTTTATCTCGTTCGAAATGTTCCTTACTTTGGCTGTATGGTACACATGGTCACTGCAAGTGCAACAGATGTGAGGCAAGGAGCCCGCCCACCCCCCTCCCCTAAGGTCCCCGAACCTGTCATGTTACATTCCACATGGCCAAACACACACAGTTAAGTTGAGCATACATGTACATGCATATTTGCCGGAATCTGCACGGAGCTTACTTTTCTTGCAACAGCTCAAGCACTTCAGGCAATATTCGCCGTGTGATGTAGATCTTCCACCTTGGACTTGCTTGATTGGTCATTGTTCTGGAAAATATATTTTGACATGAGAGAAAATGACGCGAATTCTGTATCAGTATGAACTTCGACGATAATGATGTCAAGAACGAAAAGAAACACATAGCCATAAGTTAGCTACGGATCACTTCTCAGTTATGTCGTATAGTGCCGCATATGCATAGCGGCGCACCAAGCACCTGTATCGTCACTTTGTGTCATACAACTTCATATGCCTCACAACTTCACGGGACATGGGCGCCGCCATTTAAAGAATGACGCAGTTCAGGGACGAGACGATTTGTAAAAGGGTAGATTGGGGTTTGCGTCCAAAATTCATGGTTAACAAACAAACTCAAGAATACATAAAACATTTCATAGTGGAGTCATTAACACATTTACGTTATGTTCGTGCTTGCTTAACAAATGAATTCATTTTTGACCCAACTTTCTTTTAGGCAGCATGATTCAGGTAGAACAGCACGCACCTTTATTGATATTGACTGTACCAAACCAAATAATCGAAGTAGGCTCTACACGTTAAGTAGGCCGTTCGTACGCACGCCGCACCGGAAACTTTCCCGGATCTACAAATTCTTCACATTGGCCTATTTGTCATTTGAGAATATCCTTTGTAGTCTGACATGTGCAACTAGTATTACAGACTGTCACAAGAAAGAGCGGTTTGTGTCATCCCTTCTATTTACTAACCTATTTTTTTATTCAATGTTCTCGAACCTAGCCCACTAGCATGTGCGCTCTATGATGAACTCTCGCGGGAGCGAGAGTCCGTGCCACACTAGTGGGGCTAGCCCGAACCAAGCCCGAACTCATTAGGCCTAGTAGTAACATGACTAACGAGTAGCAGGCTAGGCCCAATTTCACGGTTCGATTTCATGCCAACAGAGGCTCCACGTAAAGCAAGGCCTATATAGGCCTACATGTCAAGAGTTAGGCCTTCATGTCATAAGTTAGGCCTACCAATAATGCTTAAGATCATGGAAAACTAATTGCTAACTGTAAAAGGGCAGTGCGCAGGTGGGGGGAGGGTTCCAGATATGGATGCCAATAAGCTGGTAGGCCTAATAGGCTTACCCCCAGAACTGTGGAGTGTGACGTCCGCTCCGCTCCCACGAAAGAGCAGAGCAGACGTTGGACCCCACAGTTCTGGGAGTAAGGCTACAATGACCTATTGCCATTGATTGGCCATCATAAAGCAAAAACATCCCAAAAAGTTCAATTTAGGAGGGGAAAAGTACCCCCAGAACTGTAGGGTCTGACATCTGCTCCTCTCCCACGAACCCCACAGAAAAAAAACTTTTTTGCCATAGGCTATGCGTGACGTTTAGCAGGGCATGAAAAGTGATTCCATTCAAGTTGTGTACCCATAGAAATGTTGCTTCATTTCTCCCAAGAGTTTATGTAAGATAGCTTACATACATGTACCCTTGTTTTGAGTACCAAGAAATAAAAAGGCCAAAACCGTGCCGTTGTTGGAAAGTCCCCACTGTAGTGTTGCAGTTGGGCTGGCCCAACTATTGTCGACCAATTCCTATAGAAAAATTTTTCAACCTTACCCAAGTTTACGCATCTCACACTTGACACGATTCATCTAAAATACGGCACTTCATCTATGACGTGACATTGTAAACAATATGAACTTGGCACATGCTGGGCACATGCACACTGACTGGACCTCTGTGCGATAGTTGGGCCGGCCCAATTATAGCACTCCAGTTGGGACGGGAGCAACTGTAGTTGGGACGGTCCCAACTTTAGTTGGGACTGATGCTATAGTTGGGGCGTAACAGTACTACTCCCTAGGCCTTACTGGGTTCATCTTTTTGATGGTCCCGTACACTATGGCATTTTGAAAAGTGTCCTGCACTCGTACCAGAGAAAACCTCCGTTTGCGCTTTCTGAAGCAAATCGTCCCCTAAAGACCGTATCATAACTAACCTACATGGGAGTACCGGTGTATTTTGTAGTATTTAACCTACCATCCTAACCTCTCATCCCTCGGCGATCTGCACACATCTGCATTCTCTGTGGCCATACAGTGTACGTCACATGACAAAAACAGGCGCAGCATATTTGTGTAAGGAACGTTTGTGTTGCTTTGGATACCAGTCCCTATAATTCTGACTATGGTTAAGATTATATGTATAGATACGTCAGAGAAATCGGTGATCAGGGAACCACATTAAGGCAGATAGGTGCGGATCGTCGAGGGATGAGAGCAGTGTTGTTGTTGGGTACCTTTTTTCCGAGTACAGAGTACTGCAGAGTACCTAAATTTCCAAGTACCTGAAAGTCTGAGTACTTTACCAGCCGAGTACAAGAACTGATTTTCAAGCACAAGTACTTGTACCATACCTTCAAGTACAAGTACTTTTAATTACGAGTACAAGTCAAAGTACTTTATCAGCCGAGTACAGCAACTGATTTTTTAAGTACGAGCACTTGTATCTCCGAGTACAAGTAGTTCTAATTACGAGTACAAGTCAGAGTACTTTAAGTCTGGGTAAATAGTCAAATTTGTGTGTCAAAATGTTAGAATGAATATGAACAATGGAACTACAAACTTTTTTGCAACTGATTTTTTTTTTAATGAAAATCTGCCACAGCTTTCCCAAATCAGTATTTACGTATNAGGTAAAGTCACAGATTATATTTAGTCCCAAAACTGTGTACATGTATTTTGGGCTCCTTGGCAAAACATAGAAGTACAACATTTATAGGGCAAGAAAGGTCATCAGTTCTGATGCACCAACAACAGCAAAAGCATTTAGGCCCACTCAGAGGTAAAATGTAAAAGCATCAACAATAAGCACATGCCGTTGATGCATGGCCCAGTTTCACAGAACTGCTTTGCAAAACTTGCTGAAGTGACAAAACCCTGCTCAGAAACAAAGGTTACCGGCTAAATCTCTGTGTGATTGTCATGCCAACCCAAAAACATCTAAATAACATTCAGAAACAGTATAAATTAATGAAGTTGTGATAGGTGATCTGTGCTTACACATGGCCATGCACAATGTACATGTACCAGTACTCCTGATGCATTAGTAACACGTAAATGTGGATGGGTGAAGTCTGCCTTCCAGACTTCATATTCCTACATGTATGTCAGGGCCAGGAACCAGACTAGCTACTTCTGAATTTAGTGCTACTAGTCTTGGACCCAAGACGCATTTTTGGTGTGCTGCGATGCATTATTGTGTGTGGTGTACGTGTACTTCACAAGGCTATACACACTGACAGTGCCTCTTCCAGCTACTTCATCTGGTAATGGTTTGTGTCACAGAATAAACAGGAAGGTCTTGGAACCAAGACAATGAATACACCAACATTGATTGGCTAAGACAGTGAATGTGTAGGCCTTGTGTTTGTCAGACTGTACCAAATATCGGTCTGCGAGGATCGATTTTCATCAATGCTCGAGTACAATTTTCTTCTGAGTATTTTGCAGCCCAAGTACAAGAACTGTTGTTCGGGTATGAGTAATTGGAAATTCGAGTACAAGTAAGACATGAGTACTCTGAAAACGGTACTTGAGTAGTACTTGAGTAGTACTTGAGTACGAGTAACAAGTATGAGTACTAAAACACTGAATGAGAGGTGAGGATGGTAGAAAAAAATGATTTTTTGCCAATAATATGTTAACGCTACAAAATACACTCGTGCCTGTAGTTCCATATAGGTTACCATAGCTATTATTATAGGGTCTTTAGGGGAAGATTTGCTTCGGAAAGTGCAAACGGAGGTTTTCTCTGGTACGATTGCAGTCAAAACTGAAGCTGTACTATGTTCACAAACTTATCTCATCCCAACCCAGTTCAAAAAGGAAAACAACCCTTTCTGTTGTATGGATACTGTTACGTGTGTGAGGACGCCAATCCATCTGAACCAGCTTTGCCAATATTTCTCTTGAGTCATGTCTACGAGTGAGAATCAAGAAGCACATGCTCCCTCTGAAATCAACACAGCCAAGGAATCAGAGGAGAGACCCTCTGGAAGTGGCACAGCCACAGACGCAAGGACTGGTATCAAAGCAGGTTCCATTAGCTCACCAATAGGAAGGCCTGCATTGCGAGGAGCAGGGTACCAGGCAAGAAATGACCAGTCATCTGCATTCCGTTTTCCAGGGTAAGATTTGCTTCACATAGAAATGTCTTCCTGGCAAAATTTTAAATGTGAAAATTAAGTCAGCCTTTCTTGGTTTTTTTTCCAATAATAATTACTTGTTAGGAATTTTCCAAACTTAAGATCTGTTACTTCACATATTTGTGAATTATTAATAAATAATTGTCAGGCCTGAAGTTTGCTATTTACTTAAATGTCCTTGATAATTAACCTTCCAATGCAAATATACAAAAAAATTAAAAAATATCCTCAGTCAAATTGATTTGAGTTTTAACAATGAAGCAGAATTGATTGGCTTTGACCGTTGAGATACATGTACATGTAACTTGACGTAGCTGTGCTTTGACTTTCGATGATTGACTAGCCAGCTTTGTCTGTCAGTTGCCTGCCTTGGTCTGTCAACTGTATTGGACTGGTCACAGTACCAACCATGGTCATGATCTGACTGTTGGTGACTGTCCCATCCCGTGTAGAAAGTGCAGTTGGAGAAAGTGAATTGAATTTTTTTATTGTCTGTAACTAATGACTACAGCCTGAAAGACGGTTAAAGGAAATGAAAAATCTTTGTTGAAGTTTTCTGGTTACTGACATGCTCCTTAAAACTAGCCTTTTGATTAAGTTAACGTTTCAGCTTTCAACATGTCCCCACAGGTTCATAGAATCACTCACTGATGAGGCCCAGCTGCGATACCGCATGGATCACCCCAAGCGGGGACTGGCCATGGTCTTCAACCACGAGAACTTCTCCATGTCCGTCGGCATGAACAGGCGGATAGGAACTGAGCTGGATGCCCGGAACCTACGCAAGCACTTGGGCAAAATAGGCTTCGAAGTGGTGGTGTTCCAGGACTTGAGGATAGGAGAAATTAAAAGGCAGTTTGAACGAGGTTAGCAGATGTTTTTCTTTAATTAGATGGTTTGTCTGTGATGACCAAGCAGTGCAGAGCAAGTCTTGAAGTGAAGATATTGGGGATTTCATGACCATTAATGAACCTTCTCAGGATTTACATGTAGGAATGTGCACACTTGGACAAATTCATCTGATCATTTAGGAGCATGCCCAGACATCAACACCCCGAACACTTTTATTGACATTAATGATCCATTCTGATTCTTCCGTAAGTTTTCTCCTCACATTTAATGTCAGTCTTCAAAAGCATTAGCCTGATTTTTTAGGGTGTTTGATTTGGAATTTCACATTGATTGTCTGGGTGGTTGCCATTGTTTTTATCGTCAGCTTTTCTGCAAGCACAGACTTTGACATCTGTTACATCCCTGCTTTTGGTTGCCCATTGTCAAAAGCTGCACCAAAGCCACTTTCCTTTTTCCAATGTGTTTTGCCAATACTTTACAGGCTAAGTACCAACTTTTTGCACATACCGAGATTTGGAAGTGGTCCACGTGCATTGTAGAATGGAAATTCTCCGTGAAAATAAACATCTCACAACCAAAACGCATGCATTTTTTTAAACAGGTGTGTCATTATGTGCTTTGAATTTCTTGAGACTGCATTTGCTTTCTTTCTTAGCGGCCTTTGAGATGGACCACTCAGATTCAGACTGCTTCCTGTGTGCATTTCTGACGCACGGAGACGATGGCATTATCTACGGTTACGATGGCACCCTGCCAATACAAGACTTGTTTGACTACTTCCGAGGTGAAAACTGTCCCTCGCTAGTGGGCAAGCCAAAGATCTTCTTAGTACAGGTACGAAAAATCCTTCCAGAAACAAAAAAAGCGTCAGTTTCTTCGCCAAACATGGCTTTTAATCTGGCTGTATATTTCTTGCTAAATGCTGGTGTACCATTCGTAGTATCGTGTGTAGCATTTTTATTTATGAGCATATTTTGGCTTGCAGATGAGCTGGCAGGCTTCACATTTTTGACGAGAACTTGAAATTTACTACATGAAATTCCCACAGACTTACACATATATGTGTTCAAGTTATCAACATGCTTGCGTACAATCATATTCTACCGTGCCTCAATTCAGTTATTCTTTTGGTCAATACGTTTGAACTGAAGTGTCTTACCACAAACAGGGAAAATGTTTAGCATGGGAAAACTGTTCAGCATTAGTCGTACATGTTCTCAAATCTTCACCTGTTGTAGGATTGAGGATTGCCATGGTTAACAGGTTAATAAGGGCAATAGAGATGTGCTTGGCCAGTCTTAAACATTTCTAACCAGGTAAGGAGAATGGATCTTTCTGAGTTGGCATTAGGACTGGCCAATATTTACTCCCATTCATAAATCAGTCACAAACTTCCAACTGTGGTTTTGTTCACTAGTTTCGCTTTGTTTAGCAAACACCCCCAGCCATTTTATGTATGTTTCTCTTGTGAGTAGTCGTATACAGTTTCCTTATAAGGAGATTGGTACATCCATGGCGCGTACTGCGTGAGGGGCCGCACAGCCAGCCGGTGCTTTATTAATCCTATAAGACTGGCCAACTGACGGGCTCTCAACCAGTAGGAATAACTGAACTGTCTTAAGAATCTGTGGAGAATGGCTTATGTCTTTCTGCAGTGTCATTTATTTTTCATCCTCCTGTAGGCCTGTCGAGGTGACAAACATGAAATCGGTCTGGAAACAGACGCCCTAGGTGACAAGGATGAACCGGATTCATACGGCTACACAGTTGTAGACGGGGGACCAACCCCAACCGTTCCAGCTGGGGCGGACATGCTCATCTGTTACTCTGTAACGCAAGGTACGTTGAATGATCACTCACACAACTTTCGATGGATTGATCACCAGATACCTTTGCCAGTTAGCTGGGTTGACCTCTGGCAGTCAGAATTTATCAAGCATCATTACTGTGATACAGCCGACGGGACTGAGCGGGGCTGAAGATTTCTTGCGAATGCGTGAATGGCCTGAAATTTCGATCCCTGCAGCACCTTTCTTAACCTGTAATGTTAGGTGGACTATTACGCCAAATCATGGATTAGTTTGTGGAAAGTAACTATTGGAAAAACATAAAGTGCCATTGCTCTATTCCTGTCAGTCTTCATCAGTGCTACCTCACTTTTAGTTAAACTTCATTCAGAAGGTCATTCTAGTCTTTATCACCAGTTTTGAACGTGCTATTTCTGAAGCTTTTGGGCAAAGATGCCAAGCACCTCTCATATTGTAGACTACGGATGGGTATTTCCCCCTAGATTACCATTGTCTTGTAACACTGATACAATTTTGTTTGCTTCACCGTTGCAGGTTTTTACTCGCATCGAGACACGTCCCTGGGATCCTGGTTCATCCAGGCACTAAGCCAAGTCATGGAGAAGTACGGCAGCACCATGGAGTTCACCACCATACTGACCGTGGTGAATCGCCTGGTAGCCCAGCGCTCCGTGGAGAGGTGCCTGGACCCCAGCATGATCGGCAAGAAGCAGATCCCCTGCTTCATGTCGATGCTGACCAAACAGTTGGTGTTCACGCCCAAGTGAAAGCAAGACAATTGGAGCTCTGAAGTCAACCGGTGTCTCTCTGTAGAGGGACAGGCCGATAATGTGACAAATCAGTGTAGTGCATTTCGCAGTGCATGGCGTACTGTCAATGCACTTTACACCCTATCCCTGCTCACTGGTCCCAGAAACAACCCTATGCACCCTGTCAACTCCCTGGGGGGTATCCACCTTAAGTAGAAGCCCCCCCCTTTATCAGTTACAAAGAGCCATGTTGGTCGGGAGTGTTTGATGGTAGCGATGCGACCATAACACATGCATTTCACAGTCGCCTGTGAACCAGCGAAGTGCAGTTCCCACCAAAGGAACCTTCGTCGCTAGGAACATTGCACCCTTTCATGGTCCAACTCGCGGCTCGTACACCCAACTATACAATGATTTCAGGCACTTTGCTACCAGGTTATCAACCGCAGTAACCCTCTCTACCCTCACAGGTACCCATTGATACTCCTGGGTGGAGCTCGGCAAGTGGGGGTAACATTACTTGCCCGAAGGCACAATGGGCGCCCAATTGCAGGCTTCGAACCCGGGACTCTGCACTCGGGAGCTGCAAACCTCCAACCACCAGTCCACACATCTCAGATTCAACATCCTACTGATTTGGGAGTGCCTATGTCATCACTCTCCGGTTTGTGTGTCGCTTCAGTTTAAATCACGCCCTCTGCACAGAGAGTCACATGGAACCACAGAACCGGAAGTTAATGCTTAACTTGGGTGCTCATCCAGCGGAATCTTGTAATCAGTATCATGTGCGCGTGTACGACAAAGTCACTTACAAACTGGATAACTATGAAGAGACAGGTGGTTGTCGTTACATGCATTCCATACAGGTGCAGTGTACTGGCGTAGGACAGGATAATTTTTGTTTATTCATGAACTGAAACTCAAACAATGCTTAGGCACACGCACTCCATTTTGGGTTTTCACAAACTGAAATTGTTTTGTCATTATTTCCTCAGTTCAGCCGTCATGGACAGATTTTTCTGTTTACCACAAGTAAGGGGGTGGAATTACTTTGTGTCAAGCCTTTGAAACGAGTGAGATTTGTCAGGATTTTTATTTTCTGATTTCAGGATTTTTGTCATCGACATTTTCCTGATTTCAAGATTTTTCAAGCAATCTCTTTTGAAAATCTGGAATATCCTGAGTTTACCATGACGGGTGTTTCATATAATAACAGTTGATATCGAACACAAGAAATGGGTACTTTAAGGGGTGCCTTCAAGCAAACATAAATGTATGCCATAGGCTCAACGCTGTTGTGGGCCCTCCAAACCTCATGTGATAATTTTGTGGATATTTCATTCTCCTCCAATTACACCCCTGTTCAAAGCATTTCTCTGAATGGTATCTGTGCCATATCTTGCATTTCGGTTCATGAAAACCCAGATTACTCTGTTCTGCCTCAGTGTATAAAGTGCACGCACAAACCCACGTGTTGGTGTGGGAACCAAACCTGGGCAGCTCTGACAAAGTGAGTCTGCACATTGTATATGTGTAGTTGAGTGTGCCAATGGTGACAATAGACCTTCATCACGATGCCACCATGTTTGTCTCAATCCCTGTAGATCCATCTGCAATAGTAATGCAACTTCACATACTGATAGAAGGGAACAGACTATTTTTCCTTCCAGCCTCAGTTTAGTTGCATTGCTTCGAATGGTAAAAAAAAAAAGATGGCTGCCCCGTGATTGAGGTCTCTTGAATAAGCGTAGAGTGTCATGCATACAAAGTTATGCAGGGATATTTTAATTGTAAATTAAATTAACAATTAAAGTGTAACATACATGTACACGTCTATAGATTTGGTAGTATTCGGTATCAGGGCTCGAAATTAACGGGCGCAGGTAGCTAAAATGCACCTGTTTGTCTCCGAAATGCGCCCATAAATCATAATGATGGGCACAAGTACTTACACCCGTTTGATTCCATGTACAGCTGTACCTGAACATTTTTACTGTTTGTTTCTACTTTTGTCATGAAAAATACCTTAACTTTTTGACTTCACGTGGATCAGCCTTGTCATGGAACCATAACATGGTACAATTTTGTTTACGATGTCACTGAGCGCACGCTGCAGTCTCACATGCGATGCACGCACACACATGAACGGTTACACATGCATACCTGCGGCCAGTGTCACGGTTGTATGGAAACTGGCCCCTCGTGGGTAAATTCAAGCCAAATGAGTGGATTTGGCTTAGACTTAAGTTTCGCTGGTTCCAGTCATAGCTTGAACATGCGGTTTTGAACCATGCTCCAAAATATCTGGAAACAGCGAAACCAAAGTCTCAGATTAATCCACTCGTTTCAAAAATGCTGCAGTTAGTTCCCTTTTACATCTTTGTGGATATGTACATTATAAAGGCCCGGTGCCCGACTTTTGCGTAGCATCGCTATCACTAAGCACATGTTTGAGGTTCCGGTTGGTCGCATGCTCACTACTAGTTGTACGTTGTGTGCAACCCGCAAAAATAACAACTCGATCAAGGCTTTAATATCTGCGAAAGTCTAAGCCGTAAGTTATCAGTGTCATTAATTTAAACAAAAGCAACAGGAAGGACCAGGGTCTTTGGTTTTTTTTCTTGAACATATGTCTTATATGTAGTACAGGAGCTACTTGCTTCTGTAAAGTGACAAATCCAGCCCTCTTGGGAGCAAGTACTTGCTCCCCTGATGATTAGCCCAATTTCGAGCCCTGAGTATGTTCAGGCAAACATCTAGAAAATCACATTTGTAAATGAAAAGTGTTCTTGGAGATTTCCCGCACCCGAGGTATGCTGCTGTGTGGGTGGGTTGCTTGTTCTGTAATCAATGGATCAATGTAATCAGTGTTTGGCCAGCACTGTCGTGCTAGTGTAGTGTGAATATTCTATACATAACTGTTGTGGTTGTAACCTCCGTTTGTAACCTCACTGAATCATTATAAACCTGCTACCTCCTATCTGCTCACTGCCTTCATTAGCCCTTCCTAAATAAGACTTGATTAGAGGTGTCAATATCTTTTTCAACTGTGCAAATCAAAGGGTTCAGGCAATGATTTCTTTTTCTGAGGCAAACTTTTCTGTGCAACTCTACACTCTTCTCCAGTGTGTAGTGTTTTACTTTTTTGTTGTGTGGGGGGTACGTGCATTGAAATTGGACTTGAATGCAAACAGTGAAAACTGTCTGTGCTTTGCTAGGCAACACAGGGAGCTACCGCTGTGACGTCATTCAGGGAAGACACTGTTCAGTTGATGTTTTTCTGTTTAAATTATGAACTTGAAATTTTCTCACTGGAACATTTCTGAGGAAAGGGTCTCGCTTTGGTTTATTGCCATGTGCTTGCTCAATAAATAACCAAGGAAATGATCATTTAAGACACTAGAATATCGAAAATTCCATCAGATTCCTTTGCACCAATCAAGACAACAATGAGTTGTTCTCCCTGGGATGATATGACAGTTTTGCTCATGAATGGGGGCATTTGCATCCTTTTGAAATAACAAAGCAAAAACTGAAAATATGGTTAAATGAATCGTAGAGGTGCATTTTCAAGGGTTGTAGGGACCCAAGTGTTTTTGCATAAACCCTTTAAATACTGAACAAAGTGTCCACATGTGGAATATACGAACCTTGAGTACAAACGTTTTGGATCCCGTCAGGTTGATACTAATCATGCAGCTATGATAGTTAATTTACGTTTGATATCTCATAGAGGCTTTGCATGGTAGCCATCTTGCAGGGCAGTTCTTTTGTTCCACACTGAAGCCTCATTTGTGTATACCCTGTTGAGCAAAAGCAGTGGCCTGCAAGATGGCAGCCATGCAAACCCTCCATACTGTTGCCCAAACCTGCAAGAAGTGTTGAAGTTTTGTCACTATTCTGTGCATGTAGTAATTTCTTGTGCTTTTTTGCTGTAAAATTTTTAATTGTAGCGAACTTTTCACATTCACTGTACAAAAACTCTGTAGCAGGAAGACAACGCATACTTGTCTTTACTTTCATTTTGTGAACCCTATCTGCTTCAAGTGGGAACAAGAAATGACGTGTTTTTCCATTGAGCACGAGCTTCAATTGAAAAACTTTTCACCAGCTTGTCTGTCCTGTGCCAATGAGGGTGCTTTTCAAATCAGGGAGGATAGTTTGTTCTACTGGAAAAAGTACAAAAATTCACTACACAGCTTGATTTAGGGTCTCAATACTAATATTTTTGAAATTATGCAAATGATAGTGCTCCTATTTTACACAAGTGCACTCCAGGTGTGATTACTTTGTACATTTTTTTTATTTGATAGCCATTGGTAGAACTAACAGGTTCCAGCAGTTAGCAGGCAAACTCATTCTTTGGTTTTGTACTGACACAACCTGCAGTTCATTGTGCCTCTTTGCCCCCAAGTTCCCCGCGTTCCATAAGCTTTTCTGCTTTCAAAATCAAGCGTCTACGGCATTTTCCTAGTATGTTGCTAAAGCATTCCAAACTACATGTGGTAGTATTGTTACGGTGGTGCCGTACAAAATGAATGCTCACCATGGACTACCTACATGTCCTACATTTAATCATTTTCTTACATGGACATGCAATGGTATTCTTCCAGACCCTACCACAAATTTTGATATCATACATTTATGAAAATTTATTGATAATTCTACATTTGGATGTTCTTGGACGGGAAATGTCGTAAATGATACAGCACCGTTTTTAAATCCTGGCATTAATTGACATATCACTTTTTATATTAATCTGCAGAAAATTTCAGATTCTTACTGGAGTTTGCCAATATGCTGGAGACAAATGATCATTGGGTTACGCAAGGTACTTGAGTATATTTTCTTGTAGTTGGTTGTAAGAAAGATATTTTAAGTTATTAAGTGTAAATAAGTCCTAGACATTGCATGTAATTTTGTGATGTGTGTGTAAAGATATATAGATTGTGTGTAGTGTACTTAATGTCATTCCTTTGACATGTAGAACAAACTTATGAAATATTGTCCATTTTGGCTATGGGTTTGAATTCCGGGTTGACCATGACAGCTGTTTTCAACATCATAGGGCTGATCTTGAAAGTGTGTTTTCTAAGAGATGATTTGCTTGAAGATGTTCTTTGTGACGGGGCACACCTATAGAGGCTTTGCATGGTAGCCATCTTGCAGGGCAGTTCTTTTGTTCCACCGGGAAGCCTCCTTTGTGCATACCCTGGTGAACAAAAGCACTGCCCTGCAAGATGGCAGCCATACAAACCCTGTGTAGTTTGTTTGAAGTGAGAGCATTTTAAATTCACTGTCGTGAATTTGACAGCAGTAAACCAGCTTTTCCTAGAAGATTTGGAAACAATTCCTCATCGGCCAACATTTTAAAGTTTCATCACTAGTCCAGTATTTTTAGTACTCGGGTTTAAATTCTCATAATTTGACTGTTGTTGCCTTTGTGCAATCCACAAATAAGTTTGAAATTGTCAGCAATTACAGGTATGTATTTGTTAATAACTTTATGACAGAAACAAAAGGTACTACGTAAGATACAGAAAAGAAACGATTGAATTTTGCAGCATTTGTCTTCTCATTGAACGACATAAATGTTTGAACAAATTCAAGAAATGAGACAGCCGTATTCCACAACACTCAATAAGTGCCACTTGTTCCACGTCTGGAATAAGGATCACACTTGTCACAAGAAAACTTCGTCAACAAGAAAAGGGAGATATAATTTATCTTTTTACTGGGAGCTGTGCACGTTTCGTCGTGTCATTTGAGTGGATGCCACTCTGCCACCGCGCTCCGCGGCGTGGCCATCATGTCCCGCCAGTGAGCCGCCCCGTCTCCCGTCGCTTTTTCGTCCGGTCCGACCAAGCATCGCCCGAGGGTCTTGTGGCCGGCGAAAGGATTCACGCGCAGGCAGACCGCGAATACGATGCACACCTTTGGTAATGGAAGTAAGAGACGCCAGTCAGAAAGTTTCTGGCTTGAAACTGCCGAAATTTGAAAAACCCCAGGAATTATTCCGATTCAGTATTTCAATCCTTGAAATCGTTTGTGCATAATTATATGCGAAAACTTGCCCAGATATGGGGCCAAAATGTATCAAGAGGCTTACTGGTTACCTGTTCGTCTTCGCTGCTCATATCAATGGTAAATGCCTCGTTGAAGGTGGGATTTGCATTGCGTCTCACCACAGAGGTCTGCTTATTTTTCACTACTTTATCTCCTTTCACCACAGTCACCTTGACAAATGTGTCCATAACTGTCAAGACAAGTAAGGATTTTTAAAATGCTTCCAATAACTGTTGTGTTTTTCAAAATCCACAAGGTAAAGGGAATTTCCAAGACCGTCTTGTCCAGATCTCAATTTTACAATTGCATGTACTATGTCATAATGAAATTTCGTCTCTTTTTTAAACTCCAAACTCGTCTCAAATCCAACAGTTTCGTGTGATTTGCAATGTATATACCCGTAGATCGCTGTTAAACCATAGTGGAAGGAGTTTGGCCCCTCCCCCGTAAAAAGGGGTGATAGTTGAAGCAACACTTGCCAAATGTTCTTCAAGTGGACTTACCCAGCTTCCTGGCCTCTGGTTCTTCTGACTCCGGCAGGCGTAAATTGCGAGCCTTAAGTATGGCCACGGTCACCCGCTCAGCAGTGGGAAGGTAGGTCAAAGAAACTAGGATGTCACCCTGTCTTGGTTCTTCTGGCTGCAGAATGTCAAATAATGTCAATTAGCTTGAAACATTTGTTTTTCTTTGACAAAACGTTGACTGAGCCACGGACTTTTAACATTTACCCAAAACACTTCTATTGTGCTTGAAATGTTTGGTCTATATGAATTTTAATTTCTGCTTTTTTGTGCACATTTTTTTTTAAATGAATAGGGCTACATCTATCTACCATCTTTGGTTGTAGTTACATGAACAACTATAGCGCCGATAAGCACAGTTGCTTACTGAGTCTGACTTTTCGATATCCCGCCAAATCGGTTGACTGACGTCACTCGAAGACGAACCAAAGTCGTGAGTGCGCAATGGGTACACCACTTGACCGATGGGAACCGGATGGGAATAGCCGTCCAAGCCGACTACCGTCAGTTTGATCACCGTGTCGATAACATCCTCCTCCGGCACCCGGAAGATGAAATTCTGCCGGTAAATGGGGTTGAGAGTTCGTCGATGAACCTTTTGAGAAAGGAAAAGAAAAATCGTAAAATGTGCTAGCTTCTTCAAATAACCGACTAATTTCTGCGGGGAAGAAGTCTTTTTCATAGTGAAAAAGTTGGCTGAATCCTGCAGTACCTTCTAAAAATATTAATATTTGTTACCTTGGAAGTTGCAGATTTTTTCTCTTCATCTGGAAGTAACGACACCATGACGTAGGTGTCTGCAGTCGCACGCTCTGTTCTTGCGGGTAGCTGGACCGCCTGAATCAGGTACACCGTCAGTTGCCCCTCGCGCTCGTCGTAGAAGAGCGAGAACGACAACTTACCAAGGCCGAATTTGGACGGCGTGTACAGCTCGTGCTGCTCGTCGATGCGGTACAGGTCCGGCTCAATTTCTCCGATTGCAGTCTGGTAGGCCGACGTCTGGTCCACCTGGTCCGCCAAAGCTGATGCCGCTTCACCCAGGTTGATGGGCACAGAGTGAGATCGCGCCATTCGGTTGTTGCTGGCCTTCCTCTCCTCCGTCTGCAGGCTCCGGGTTCTCATGGCACTGCTCAGGTTGGGATTCCTCGGCCTCTTGAAACTCGGAGACATCCAGGGGTCCTTGCTGGGCTTCCTCATGGGAGGCAGCGGGAATTGCCTCAACTTCTCCGAAGCCTTTGGCCGTACGAGCGTTTCAGTCTTTGTCGGGATGGAAAACTCGATGGGACGGGACATGGTCTGCACGTGGTGTGGGACGACCATCTCTCGTTTCTTCTCCCTCCATTTCTCCAAGAATGTTGCATCTTGAATGCTGTACTTTGCGCTCGCTTTCGCACATCGGTCACCCTCTCGGAGTCCTAGTTTCTTTCGTACTTTCTTCCAGAATCGAGATCCGGAGAGAGGAGATCGACCTATTTCGCGGTACGCAGATTTCTCCATGTTTCTGCCATAGCTGAGGACGTACAACAGAATAGAGACGATGATGACGATTTGTGCGCCCACCAAGATGGCGATGATCACGGGAATGGGATATGGAAGGGGGGCGTAACCTTCTTCAGGGGTAGGAGGGGAGACCGGTTGCGGCTCTCTCAAAAGTGGGACAACGGAGAAATTATGCATCGTTCCTCGGGTATCTAGTTTGAAAATAAGAGAAAAACATGCACAGTTTATGCAGGTCTTTTGTAATTATAATCGACATTAAAGGAATGTTTTTGTTTAAGTACACTGTATAACAGTCATTTTGACAACCTTTAACGCGAACCGGACAAGGTCCGAAAAAAAATGAGAAAATAATCATCTTCTCTCATTCTTACTTTAAAAAACATAAGACATAACCGATTTAAAGGTTACTCATGCCAAGCCGGGAAGGTCTGTATATCTTAGATTATTCTACAGTATATCTTTAAAAAAGGGGAACAAAGATTACGCAATCTGCTTCTTGAATGTGACAAATTATTTTAGTGAATGGTAAATAATGATCTGTTTCATGTCTTCTTTCTTGTGACACCAAGAAATCCACATTTCGTTATTGCTCACTTCTTTTGCACCCGGATTTAAGTAAAGTCGGGCCACAGTGTGTAACAGAGAGCATAATTCAATGACATTATAATACACTTTTTCCGTTTCCCTTGTACAATGTGTAAAGGCCCCAGTGGCCTTTCCTATTTTTCTGTTATTTCGGACAATATACAGGTGCGAATTCCCCTTTGTTCGATGTTTCAAAATGCACCCCTCTGCAAACCAAATACGGATGTGTCGACCAAGGTACCAGTTTGCACAACGAAAATTCTGACTTCTTCAAATGACCAACCTGAACATATTGACCAATAAATCGCACAGGTTGGTTTGGTAACCTTTAAGACGATATGCTTCTAAATTCAGCGTGATGGGGTAGGCCTAACTTGACACGATTTTTATACGGTTTCCCGGCATAAGACATTATTTCGCATCAGACTTTTTTCTGACTTTGTTCCTACTATAAATGTTCTTCCTAACACCAACTACCGTAGGCTATGTGTAGATTTAACCAAACAAATCGAATTGACCCAGTATTGCATTTTCTGTACGTTAGAGTTTTCCAATTTTGGTACTAGACAAAAAACCACGACACGTAGAACGACGTGCGTCATATCCATATACATGTACTCTATTCTATCAACTCTTCTGCGATTCGATTTTCAGCTTCCCATGTCTTGTCTCCTCTACTTTGGTGTTATTTTTATTTATAGAATACAGTATAAATAAAAAGGATCTGCATTTGACGCACATCGTTCTACGTGTCGTCCTTTTCCGTCTACCCCAATTTGAAACCACAACATATGAGATACCGGCATGTCCATCTGAGATGTCACGTGTGGCCTCTCGATACGAATTATCTTACCTCGGTTTGTAGCCCTTTCAACAGCAATATCAGATATTTTTGATTTTGTCTTTGGTTCGTCAACTTGTTATGATTGTGATAGAAAAATGCAACCTGTCAGTGGTGACGGGACTGAGTGGACACTACCTGAACGTAGACATGTCCAGTTCGGTGGTAGGCCCACTGTTGAAATCACCGGCCCTTCGTGTGTTGGGCCTCACGCCTTGCTTGGGTGATTTTGAAAAGCGCGGCAACATTTTGCATGACAATGTCCTCCATCCAGGGGCAAAATGGAATGTTGAACAGTTCTACTGAAATCTCAGAAGATATCACTTCGTGTGCATAAAATACGTATTTTGAGAAAATTTAAACACTTGTCTTTATCACTGCTAGCCCGTGCTGTTGAGCAAGGTCTCCACAGAAATTTCGAGTTTTAGCTGACAAGGTTCGACGCACAACCCTATTTCCCTAAGCATGTGTTTGCAATAGCGCAGTGGAGTGGCGGAAGTAACGGGCTGGATGATAATTTCCGAGCACAATTGGGACGCCGATTGAAGCCTATTCAAAATTATGAAAATACATTGTAAAAGCAAAAACAAGGACGCAGGAAATAGATGGTAAAACCATTGGGTGGTGTCACTAACTGAGTAGCGATTTCTAGTACAATTTTTAATTTAACCTAAACGGGACAAACCATCGCCCTGTGTTCGTAGGCCCAGTGGATAGACCTCTGTGCATGCCAATTTGCCAAACAATGGTTTGCACAGATTATCCACTATATGCACGTAGCTACTGTTCGTAGCCTGTTTGGCATGCACGAGGGTTTATCCACTCCGAATATAGGGCGAGGGCTCCCCTCGTTTTCTCCGAATGACGCAATCTACATTCAGAATTTGCATCTTGGCACGAACCAAATAAAAATCCTTTTTAGTTTGTTACAGTTGAGTTCTGAAGACAAATGACACTGCGTTCGATTTGGATGCTTCTATATTTATTTGAACAGATAAAAAGAGAGAAAACATGTTTCCTTTAGAGATGCTCTTTAAACATGGTTCACAGACGCAGTTGTACATCCTGTTTGCGCAAAGCAACATCTACATGAACATAATATCGTGCGGTATCCATCTTCTGTGTTGGTCTTTGCAAAACAACCCCACCAGCAAAACGATGCTTTCTCTTTTGAAACCTGGACATATACGGGAATTATACGCCACCTATATATAACCACTTCTCCTTTCACTTCCAACACCGTGACTGCTATATCGCGACAGCCGGGTGGACTACCCTTCGTGTTTACATCCGCTATCAATACAGACTCCCGATACATCTATTTTTGCTCTAAAAAAATCGCCACAAATACACTTGAAAGGATCGGTTTTTCCATGTTGGCAAAAGTTTATTACATTATACACAAATAAACATTCGAAATAAAACATACGAGAAGTTTATGAACAGCGAATTACACTGTGAACAATTTAGGATTCCCCTCAGATGTTACTAAGCCGTAGTAGTTAGTACTGGTGCGTTTATTTTTCTCTCGAGTTTTCAACGAGTCAGCCTGGCCGAAGCCTGACAGAGTAAATGTAAGCTAATTTCGTGTTTATATTCAACGAAAGAACACATGTTCGTTAATGTTCCAGCCAAATGACGAAATTCTCGTTGTATCAAGAATGCTAGCACAATTTGCAATACGGAATACACACGTGCACATTTTTTAATTATGCGAGCACAAATTACAGGGTTAAAGAATGCGGAAAACATTACTTTCGTAACTGTAATATAAAAAATCCCCAAAAGACAATTATTTCTAATCAGTAAATACAATTCGTTTTGAAAATTAACCAAATCAAGTGAATTTTTTTAAGGAAACTGTTAACTTGTCGTAGATATTTTTGTTACAACACATACGGAGTTAACTAATACGCTTAACATTTGACATCAGAAAATGCATATGAATCAAGATCACGATTGAATAGCATAATGTTCAAAAAGCCCTTTTGAAATAACATTTTCGTTCGACCTCTGTAACTGTGCCGTCTCGGTTGTTGTATAATTTACGAACTACAGGACTAATGAATTAATGGGACTGGCGGGTCCAGGGAATTCCTTCGGGTTGGCCACAGCCCACTCTTTGACATCCATATCGGGCTGTCATTTTGTCAGTCAATTCTGTAGCAACTTCAGCTATGGACTTCGTGTTCATTAACAACTTACTTGGAATTTTTTTCCAGGTAGTTACATGTATAAACGACAACCGCTCAGTTATGCGTTTCGTTGTAATTGTGCACGTCAAGCTTCGCAAAATATACGGCTCGCGTGAGAATCACGTTGAGGCTTTAATTTACTCGTTTTACTGGAATCATACAAAATCAAAGTGAAATTTCTGACGCCACGAAATTTACTTCATGTTTTTCTAAGAAGTATAAAGCGCTATTGCGACTGTACGATATAAGAAAAGCATCACAGATTTAAGGAACGGCTGTTTCCCCCTCGATGGATGTTGCATTGGACAAGTTGATTTGAACTAAGAAACTGAGCATAAAAACCTGTTGTTGTTTTTTTTCTTTGGGTTCTAAATTTCATGACATATTTGCTGCTTTCCTCAAGCTGGTGGACAGTCTCCACGATCAATTTTGGGGGCTATATTTCTGTGGGGTTGGAGCAAACTACACGATCGATTATTTACCACAAATTCCCTCACTTGTTGGCAGTGAATAAGGTTGGCGCTAATGTTTTCATTCACAGACGTGGGACAAGATTTCTCCTGAAGTGAATTCTGCATCAACCAAACTTAAACCATACCTCTGGCCAAGTTTGATTAGACTGCTTAAGGCATTGCAAAAGTTAAGTGTGGATGTCAATATCACAACCACCTCAATAATAACTAGCTAAAGATTATGACACCTAGTGCTCAAAACACCTTAAATTCATTATCCCCAGACCCTGTTTCAACAATCTCACAGCTACCTCTTTCTTTTGGAATTTTAGTACCAGACACATGATGCCAGAAGGCATTAGATGTCCTCAACCAGAGTTTTCAGGGATTCCAGACTCCTCAGACCCAAACTTGGCCAGTAACGAAGTAAATGTGACAGGTGCGGGTGAGGTGTTTGACGGACAGCCCAACAAGCGGTGCATGGATGACTGGTGCCAACTGAACAAATCTTTCTCCAAAGAACTTGTTTGTGGTGCGTGAGAAAAAGCTTTTGATCATGAAGTGGAGGAACTACTTTTGATGGCATCAAGCACAAACGTGTCTTTCTAGAATAAGCTACGCTCTGCACCAACTTCTTGGAATAATAAGGAGACATTCTAATAAGACAACGCACAAATTAATGGACATTGGAACTACAAACACATACATAGTTACATACAGAGTAATAAGTTACGTGCATCTCACAAGACACTTTGGAAATGTTGTCCTCTTTGCCTTCTGTTTCAGGCAAAGTGGGATAAGCTTCACAACAGTGCTAGGTAAGCATTCAAGCACTGCCCTAAAGTTAGCCAAAGTACTGTTAATCCAGGAAGCGACCGTGTTACTTAATGTTTTCAGTTATGAGAAAATTGTATAATCCTAACGCTCTCTTTGACCCGTGGCAACATTAACTTCCAGCAAACTAATTTGTTTAATTAGCCACAAAAGCGCTCTAAAATTCGGATCTGGACTTCAGTAATTATGACCAATGAGGAACACTTTTAGTCCCTTGTTAATACTTTCTAAGGTACTCTTCACGTTCACCAGTTTGTCGGCAAACAACATCAAACCAAAGATTTAACAGGTTGAATCCCGATTCGAACTACAATCTGTGAGTTGTGGACTCCTGAGAATAACCCTCCCTGACCTGTCAAGTCCTCATCATGAGCGGGCGTACGATCTTGTCCACTCCTTGGCCAATTTGTTGTATCTATCTCTGTCTGTCTTGTACACCCTGGCTATCTCAGGTACCAGAGGGTCATCTGGGTTGGGGTCGGTGAGTAGCGATGAGATGGATAGCAATACTGAATGAAAGAGAGAAAAATATACATAACTGTGAAGACATGAAGTGGTCAAGACGTTTCAGATTCTGACATTCACTACAGCTGCCAACACCGGATGACCATATGGCTTGACAGGCAGCTCTGACATACACTATCTTTGTGTGTTTAATTCTACGAGCAGACCATGTCTTTGTAAGTCAGAGTCGTGTGAATGTTTGACAGGTATTATTATTATTATTGTAATTAAATTTCTGGTAATGACACCAAGGACTCCTTAACTGAGTGCCCTAGGCACAGTAAGCTCGTAAGCCTTGAAAAAACCTGTAGATATGAGACAATGAGCAGTTACCGTTTCAGAGGTGGGAGAAAAACCCAAGAGGAATATTCTGGGTAAAACCCACGGCTTCAGGTACATGTAGGGACTGAAAACCCAATCCACATGTGGACCGGACCGAGCCGGGAATCGAACCTGGGACCGCAGAGATGGAAGGCAAGGAAAGAACCACTACGCCAACCCGACTCCCCAAATTTCCAGCAATGCTTATGTTCTACATGCATCTTTGGGGGGGTTTGTTGTTGAACCCTGATTGTGAATGTTTCAGGGGGACTTTCGTATCATTCTGGAGCTACCTGTGAGGTTTGTTGCAACCAGATCACTTAACTGGCTAACTTTTGGTCTCCATCTTGTATAAGGCACTCTACAAGAATTCTCTATCTGAATCCCTGGCAAATGCATATCTTAATTCTACCCCGAGATCAGCTATGTATTAATTTATACAGAAGCAAGTTCTTGGCAAACAACTTTTCACATTGACAAAGTTGCCTTTACTGAAAGCCACATGTACGGCAGATTTGAAGTTCGCACACATGGGCAAAATCCCAGGGGGATAAGCTATTCAATCATTTACCCTCCCCCCACACTTTTTTGTGGTGAGAAAAAAACAAGGTGGATTATGAAGGATTTGTTTGTCTTCCCAACAACCAAAATGCATTCAGCAGCACTACAAAAGAGAGAACAGTTTTTAAAAAGCCACAAATAGGCCATTTTGATGCAAGATTCGGCCGGAGCGTAACATATATTAGAGATGTATCTGTACCATAAGCATCACCCCCTTGTGCCACAAGAACTCAAGCTCCCTCCCCCCGGTGCTTTTCAAATTTGTTTGATGACCGCGCAAGTCATTCCCCCGAAATCCCCCGTCCTCCCTCCCTGAGTTCCTGGCACAAATTGATGCCACCGTTCCTACCCGAGCTGATTCCCAGCAGAAAATGTGCACAGTTGATCCCATTCCCAAGCCACAACTGACCTTTGGAGACCGTCAGAGCGGGGGACCATTGAGACCTCAGGATGTCGAGGCATATGCTGCCGTTTGTGTTGATATTTGGGTGGTAGATCTTCGTCTGAAATTGTACCTGTTACGTTAAGAACATTTTCAAGAGTGCAAAATGGTGTCAAGAAGGATCCACGGAAAATAATGGTACCGGAGAAGTGATTGTAAAAATGGCTGCACTGCACAGGTGGTCACCGAATAGCCAGATCGTAAAACATGTCCAATATGAATGTGCAATGAAGTTATCAGGAAAATCTAACGGAGCCACACCATGTTACTCAATTCTCTGCCGCAAAATTTCTGTTCTTCACAAACAGAGAATACAATATGTGTTCAAGTACTGTGGGATAACCATGCTGCATGTATGTTGGACTAGCCTTGTAGGAGGGCAGCATTGCAGGGGTCGAAATTACCTTTTTTTCCTGGTAGCCAACAGGACCAGTACTTCAAAATTTTCACTGGTCCTGCTGAAAGTTTGGCGGTCCCAAACTAGAACCGCACACGCAACCGCATTGAGCAATCCTTGTTATGTTAGGGCGCAGGCCACGCTGAATTTTTTTTTTTGCCCGATTGGGCAGGCCATGCCATAAATTTGTTTGTCTGAATAGGATCAACACTTGCCCAACATTTCTCGGAATCTACGATTATTAGGGTTATTTAAATTAGGCCTACTGCAATACACGCAGTCTTTTATTAGGCCCCAAAACAGTTGTGCTTTGCCTCTCAAAAATAGGATTGGTACTAGGTCGGCATTTTTGTTTGTTTTGGGGGCAATTTTTTGGTGCGCATTTAATGGCATCAGTGGGGACGACAGCTTTCAACATTATCCCAAAAAGTGATTGTCTTATTCTATGTAAAAATTTCTCCATTCGGCAGTTCACAAGAAAATTATCGACAATTCACGCAGTGCTGCTCAGGTGATTGGGACGGCAAACTGGCCAACAATGTCCGTGTGTCACATGGTAAGTGCGCGTGATGCATCCAGACCAGCAGGTGATAGACCTTGAGCCATGAGAGCAACCTCAAATTAAACTCATGAACGCAGAAAATACGTAAGTAAATAAAAGACCAAGTTCTGAGAATTAACTTGCAGAAAACCTCTTGCAACATCGATGTCTTTTCGACCTGCAGCCTTAGGGTTGCATCCGTGACATGTACGGCCGATGTAGAGTGGACATGTACCGAACGTTCAGTACATGTACAGTACAGACTGGTTCTGGTTGCTACATTTCCATCATGCATTCTTTTGCATGGGTGTGGCGCGGCGGGAACCAGCGCAGCTTCGTTTAATGCACTGAGCTTTGCCCATGTATTTTCACCACTGTGACAGCGAAACGTGAATGGAAACTTGTGAAAATAACTTTTTTTTTTCAAAAATTGCAAATGTAAGTAGGAAGACAGATAACAACAAGCATTTTAACATGAGAAAAGGTTATTGAAAGATGTTTGTGAAAACAGAAAAGACATGCAGATTTCAACTGGCCCACCTGACCACCAGTTTTATTAGATCACCTGGTCCGCCGACGTTTCTACTGGCCTCGGGCCAGCGGACCACATTGGATTTTGTAGATGGCTTGTTATTGCCAAAACAAAGTTTTTTGGGGGAGGAGGGACGTCACCTTGATAAGAACTAACACAAGGGCAAAACGCAAAGCCCTAACAGTGTGGGGCCTAGGGCTGCTTGAGGGCCTTGGGAAATTTGGGATTCTAGATGTCTAGTGGTGCAATCTGAAGCAATTTCTGACCACTTACACTACTCTCTTTAACAGATGCTTTTGCAAGATTTATTTCAATTTTCAACTGATTTTTTCTGTAATATGAATCAACTGTTGGCTCACTCCCCCCTCCCATTTTTTTTTTATTTAGGGCCCAGGAAAAAGGTACATGTAGAGGGGATAAATGATACGATATCCCCCCCCCACACACACACACACACACTTTGAAAAATGAGGCGGCATGTCCCCTCCCGCACTGATTGACACATACAGTAGGCCAAAACCAGAAAAGCTGAGCTGTTAAACAGAATGTGTGGCACTGTTTTAGTTTTGTCTCCTAGAATGCACTGAAGAGAATCCTCTCACCTTGGGCGGTTTGAACGGGTAATCTCTGGGAAAACGTATCTCAAGGAAAAACAGACCATTCTGATAAGGACTTTCGCTCTGCAAAGTGAGAGAAAATGTACAAAATTCAAAATGAAGAAAACAAAATTGAATTCCACTCTTATTCATATTAAAAAGTCCGGCCTTTTAAAAATACATCTTTTAAGATAATTTTTACATCTTTGCCAGTACGTTCTTTTTACACCCTTGATTGTTCTGTTTTAAACTCTAAGTACCGGTAGAATTTTACAGCACACAATTTTCTATAATTCTGCATCAGTGAACGTATACATGTACATGTACTTACTGGCCCTGCAATGGATGCCCTCCAATGGAATACTTCACATGTACAAATGCAAGCAGGAGAAAACAAAGAGAAGAAGAAAATCTGTGAGATGGGTTTCCGTTTATTTTTGTTTCTTACTTTGGGGGGGGCACTTCAATTCTATCCACAGATGGGACAGAGACTTTGACCATCTGTTATTGTTTGCACTAGATATCCAATATTAAAAAAAATCAACAGCTGTTAAAAGGAACTGAACAGACCTGAGTAGGAGACAGTAACAATGGACACCATTCACGTATAGCCATGTCTTTCAGTTTCACACGCTGTGCTTTTGGACCCAAATAAAGAAACTCAATCAAATCCCTCGATAACACTCACATGACACGGGCTCTGCATATCAGTTTCTATGATGTAATAACTGGGGAAATGTCAACACAGCACATTGCAATGGCATCACAATTTTGGCGAGATTTGCATTTTTCTTTGTTGACTTCAAGGGTCCATGCAATATACCAGTAATCAAATCATGTACCTACAACCCGTAACAAAAATATACCTTTGTGTTTCAATTAATTGCATATCACATTTTTGTTTAACGATATTCAGAGGTTTTTTAGCCTGTTTCTATTTTTCTTTACACTGCAAATTCCCTGTTCATGAGCAAAACTGCGATGTCATCCCAGGGATAAAACCTCAATATTGCACTGATTTGTGAACAAACAATTCTGGAATTTTTTATATTTGCTGTCTAACATTTCCTTATCTTTGGAGATTTATTGTTGTTAAGTACATAGCAAAAGTCAGTTGCAACCCTCTTTCAGAAATATTTGAATGACTACTGCACATTTGGTGTGCGCAATTTAAACAGAAAAACCTACAAACTGAACAGTGTCTTTTTTTGACTGACATCACAGCAATAATGCCCTCGGTTGTCCACAAAAACTTGCACAAAATTAAATCTTGGCAAAAAGTGCACTCTTCAATAGGCCTACACTTACATGTAACCCCAAAGGGATATCAAATTGTTTTCATATATTGAAGAATAGTAGAAAGATGTACAAAAAGTGAGTCCAAGAAAATTTCATCGCATGAACCCTTTAGTGAAATCCTCTAATGAATACATACATGTACCACAAGCATAGTGCTGGGAAATAATGGGAGTTTTTTAACTATCTCAATCTTAACAATCACTGTAAGAGATATGGCCACAGTCTATCTTATTAGGAGCAGGAAAGTCACACCATACAAATGCAACACTTGAATATATGCACTTTATGTGTATTGAAAAGGTACATACATGTACATGTCTTAGTAAGTTGGTATATCACACATACGTAATTGATGTCCATACTCACAATCGTCATTTACTGGTCCCGCAGAACAAATTGCTAGAGGATCTCGGACTAGATCATTCAATTCCTGAAAAGGTAAACAAAAATGGTTTTGGAAACTCTTGTGTCAAGAAGCAATGGTGCCTTGTCTGCCTTCCATAAGCTAACCTACATAAAAACAACACAAAGCACAGAACGGGGAGCCAGTCACATTAACGGGGCTTCCCCTATGGTTATAAAATATCTCTGAGCATTTCAACACCCCAAACAGTTTCTACTTGTGAACAGGTACATAGGCTGGAGTTTGAATGAGAGTAGAGTATTTTATGTTCATACAAAGTTGCTATTCCCTTTTGGCAGTTAAAAATGGATGGAACAAAATTCACCTGTCAACGTCGACATCAAAGTGGAAGTGGGCACTGATTTTTTATTTCAAAACACACACTGATATCACTTCATGTCTCCATCCAATAACGACCTGATACAATGATTTAAAACAGGTTGTCAAGTGATTGTGGAGTGCTCAAAGCATGGAAGAAAAGCGAGACCATCAGGGAAAAAGCTGCTAACGGGATGATACGTGTAACCTAAACGCCGCCTTTACCCTTTTTTTGTGCCAACCACCATAGCGTGATCAGAGAAACCTTGCTATACTGAGAGTGCTTTGGGGAAGAAAAATACCATTAACGGGATTTCGTTTTCTTTCACAATGAAGAATGTTGCATCAGTAGTTTAAATGTTCACTACCAGTGTTTGGGACATTCATACCACAGTTTACAGTATGCTCTAACTATCACGGCGACCAACTTGGAGAAATGGTTTAATAGCATGGCTGAAATTTACCCCGAGGCTTCAAGATGACGTTTTTTTGCACTGTTTATTGCACTGGTCTTTAGTATTTTCTGGACTTTTGTACTTTGCTCACTTTAGGGTACTATGTTTAATTAACCAGTGAGCACAGTTAATTCTGCAAACTACTGGCAACAGATGGTCAGGAGAAGAAGTCATATTAAGACACTTCTTTTCTACCTTACAACCTGGTTTAGTAGTCAATACCAGACCGTTGACCTGGTATGTGGCTAAACCAGGTCGGTTGGGTTAACTTCAACTTTTTCTGATGGCAAATGTGAAGGTCTCATGAAACAATAAAAACAAATCTATACATTTTACACACAACACTATCCTCATGGCTCAATAAATGATCAATTATCAGCTGTTGCCCCCGCCCCCCCAAAAAAAAGTGGTGGAGGGGCAACAGTTTGTGACGGAGATCTCAAACTGCAAACAAATTATAATGTTAAATTGCATTAAATTTTATACAGAGACATATTAGCCATCAGTACAATGACCTACCGTTAGCCATCAGTTATTGGGGATCGTATACTTTGGGACCCCCCAGTTTTTTGTCATTTTTTTCTTGCAAAACGGGTAAGTTCCCTAAACAACAAAGGCAACACTCTCTTTATTGTGCTGACCCTATTTTGGGGGGAAATTTCATATTGTAAATTGTGACAAAATGTGATCTTTCTTATTGATAAACTAGCCATGCAAATTTGAATCCACCATGTGTCATGTGTTAAAACACTCACAGTTTCCCCTCATGATTTCCTTCAAAACTCAAAACCCGGTCCTTTTTTGACAGCATCAACCCTATAGTTATTGAGCATGATGTAACAGTCATCTAAAAAAGTTAAAATGTAGCTCTTTCTTCTATTATTGGAACAGGGCCCCCAAATTTACAATCCCCTGGGCAGTTATGTTAACCTTTTTTCTTTCCAGGCATTTACTGCTTACTTATCATGTCCCCATCTTTGTCCACTTTCTTAATGTTTTGTCCTTAATTGTATTGTACCCCGTCCTTTGTTATTTTTTCCTAATGCCAAACAAGTAATAATCAATAACCTATAGCGTGTGCTAAAGTCAAATTTAGCAGTGAAGTTACTGAGGTAAACACTTTTGTATAAAACACTTAGAATTGTTTGGACCAGTTTCATGGAGATTGTGTGTAGGGTGTCAAGCAGTGTCTGTATTATGCAATTCCTAAGATAAATAAATTAGGCCTAATAAAGCTTTATTATATTCAGGTGATATTTTCATTTTGCAAAGACGAAAAAATAGGTTTTATGAAGAATTCCTTATTACTGTTTATACACAAGCCATGTGAATCTTCTGTCTAATCCAACCTTGCTTGATTACATGAGTGCAATAATACAGAGCAAAAGGTGATTTTTGTAACAGCTGTAGCCCGATAGGCCTAAGAGTGCGTATGCTGCTGTTGTCCATTTCCTATCGCTAAATACCTTTTTACCAGCGAGCTAGCTGTTCCTTGGCGTTCGTTGACATTGTCAAACTAGCAGCTACTCACTTACGAAGTATTATCTTGTCTCTATATATGAGGCAGTAGCTTACCTTTTGTATTCTTGTAGCTGCCATTTTCTATCGTGATAATTGGTTCAATAAATTCCACAAGTTTACGCAATTAGGATCCTGATTGAGAATGAAAAAATAACCTTCTCATCAAGTGGAGTTTCCCCAATCGCGTACTTACGTACGTCTGCATTGCCTGTACGATGTCAATTACCAATAATCTGGTAACCAAATATGTATAAATTTTCTAGATATGTGAGATACTCTGGGCACCAGACAAGAAAGGATGTATTTTGTCATTTTCAAACGAGTAGTTGGACCCGAAGCCTTTGTTCAAACTGTTCGCCCGGGTTGGATTTCGGTATGCTTTTCATTTTCCTAGCCGAAAAAAAAACAAGGTTGTTGACTCAGAAAACTTATTAAACTTGAGAAAAAGTTCTGCAGAATGCACTTACTCGACTCAGCACCCTTAATGCTGTAAACTGTTTCCTTAATTACGCTTTGAGGTTTTTAGTTGATTAAACTTTTTACTACAAAATTTTTAATTTTCATCCAATCGAGGATCGTTAATGGCAAATTTCTTTGTTTTTCTTTTTGTTTCGCTTTGTCCTTTTTTTGTTATTTTTGCATATTTTCGATATTGCACCCCTTTTGTCCACGATTCATTTATTTGCTTCAGGTCCATAGTTCACTGAGGGACGATGTGAATTGAAGGCATTTTGGTGCCTTATGCGGATGGTTCATAACCTACTTTTGCTCCAGGCAGAGTTGAGTTCGTTAAATAAAAGAAGTTCCCCGATGGTTTACTTAGAAGCGCTGCTTAAACCATTAACAGAGAGACCTGTTCTAGTCATCTTGGATGGTGTCATGGTTACTCGTCATAATTTGATAACACTCTATACATTACATTGGGCGGCTGGGACCACGTGTAATTTCAATTGCGGAAATTAAACCCACGAATAAAGACACGATGTCACCAGATAACCATAATTATGGGCTCGGACAAATCGACCTCCACGTCGACTCGACTCGAGACAACTTGACCGTTCAGGCGACTACCGTCCAGCGAGACTGATGCAGAAAGTCCGGCAACTACGGTGGGTGTAAATTCCAGATAGTTACTTACAACAGCCTGTGATACAAGTTAAATGCGTTTTCTTCTTAAATATTGGGAAGCTTTTGATGTGTATATTGTGATTTATAAAAATAAATAAATCTGATATCCTCGTCTTTATGAAATGAAAGAATTAATGTTTCGTGTTTTTCTTTGGACTTCGAGTCTACTTCAAGGGGCAATGGGATGGCTGGTCACCCAAAAACCTGCTCGTGCGTGGGTTATATTAGGTGAGCCTCAAGGCCGGTTCATATTCGCTGCGCATTCACTGCCTTCGCAGTGCGAGGGTCTATTTTGAGGTGTCTGCAGTGCGCGAAGGAAAGCGCAATGAACCAAAAAAAATATGTAAACGTACATTATATAAATTGGAAGTTCAGGGAAATAAATTCATCAAACATAACACGAACAAAAATGAACAAAAAACTTGCTTACTGGCCTTCCCTTGGTGCGTTATTGCCCTGGAAAGCGTTACTCAGTTGTTTCTTACTACCTAGGCCTATGCCAGGTGCGGATCGGGGGGGGTTAAAAAAAAGTAAAATCGGGAAAATGATAGAAAGCAACTGAAGTAAGTGCACTAATACCATTGTAAACAATGTATGTCACGTATAATATTTCATCATTTCTGCTTGTCGGGAAAAAAGGGAAATATTAAATAAAAATCTCACGCTGATGGCATGACCCCTCCCCACAAAAAAAAATTCCTGGATCCGCCCCTGGACACTCACTTTCTGGTTAGAACTTGGCCACCACAATTTTTGTACAAAGTTACGTTGAAAAAAAAACTGTCTTAAGACCCACCATTATACCTTTTTTTCCTTAGAAAATTAGATTATTACAACATCCAGAAAGCGCTTATCACTGCAACGATCGGAGTTCCGAAATTGTGCATGATGGACTTTTAAGTTATAGGGCTGGTTCATACTCGCTGCGTTTGCACACACTCAGCGCGTCATGTGAACCCTACATTTGACGTTCATACTTTCCGTTTTTTTAATTTGAATCCACACAAGGTTTGGCCCAGGAAAACCTATATTTACTTGAGCAATAAATCATTCAGTGTCAATTTAACTCAGGGCCCATTAAAATTCGTTTTAAACAGAACGATCTTTCACACGAGCATTCGAAAATTAAAAACAGGTCTTCTATTTCGTTATTGAGCATTCTTTCTGGAAATACATTCTTTCATATTCGTCAAAGGGCTTTTAGAAGGAAGTTGACCAGGCATTCTTTCTTAATACGTTTGATAAATTTGTTTCTGGGAACTTTTAACTTGTATATGTACATTTACATATATTTTGAAAAGGTCCATAACTCCGTAGTCAGATATGAAACACAAAATGCGCAGCATCAGCAACAAAGAGCAAAACACAAGTTCTCTGAATTGACTCAAGAAACAGGCGTAGATGGAAATAAAAACCTACAGATACAAAAAAATCATTCACAATAATTAACAAAAAATTATGGAACACGGATATCATACAGAAAAACAGACCAACAGTATTTCGCCAATGCTTCTAAATTGGGCACTCAGATCGCGAAATAGAATTTACTGTAAACGAAAAAGGGAATCACGTGCAAGTGTAAGATCGTATACATTTCGACGAGTTTCAGTTTGACTGCACCTACTGGAAAAAGACAGCAGAGATTACACTAAAGGATGGTGATATTTAAAATGGATATGAACGAAGTAGAATGGCGGAATGAAAACTGAACGGCAAAGCTAAAAAAAATTCGAAAACGAATTTGAATGTCAGAATAGGAAAAAAAAATAAACCAAAATAAACCAAACCGTAGGATCTTATCTGTGCGAGTGTCAATACGTGTTGACGAAAGTAAGCGAATTTTTGCTGAAATTGGCTGGGAAAACCTGTTACCGACCCAAACGTCTTCTATCTTTGAAACAAGTTTTGGGTGAACACAGAACATTAACAATGCGCTTGGTTGCTTCACAGGCTATGCACAGGCTGATTGGAAGGGCGCCCTCACGTCTTGTCAGATGCAGACTTACACAATACTTGATGTGCATTACCGTGTCCGAAACGGGCTTCCAGAGCTAGCTACGGCTAGGTCTATCGTTTGCGCGTCTCTGCGTATTTCCAACGGAGCAAAGGCTAAGACCTAGCTCTAAACATCAAATTGAGTTGGGGTTCGTGACTTAGAGCTCCTTTGACGACACAGGATTTCGCGGACTCGAGAAGGTTCCGAAATTCCTGTTTCCTGAATTTTCTAAATAATCAGCACATCTTAACCCAAGGAACAACATGACTATTTCTGGTAAGGGTAGGATACTGTTGGTGTGCGCATACTTGATGTACGCATTAACATGATTAAGTCTGGTCATGACATTTCTTTCCAAATCAGTCATGTCAGTGGCATGATGTGGCTAGCCTTTGCCCCTCGGTGTGACCGTTTTGCTCCAACCATGGAGCTATAAAAAGGTTTATAACGGAGGAATAAATTCCTCCATGCTCCAACCACCAGAAAACTTCGCCCCCTTGAACACTGGTCCTGCATTAGGTAAGGTTTGGGTTAAGGTCCCACATAAGCCATTTTCACATTTCATGTCATGATGTGCGTAAGCTTAGAAGACTTAATCATGTTAATAAAGGAGAACAAATTCATGACAACAATGTTGCGTAACATTTGGCAAATGGACACTTGCGATTGTTATTGTTGTAGATAGTTCGTTCCCCTCTAGCTGTGTTCACTAAGGTCTACTCGCGCAGGGGAGCTAACATCAACATGGCGATGGAACGGGAAATTGGCTTACTGCAACCAACGTCCAGGGTACCAACTTGTCCTGCTAAAGAGACATTTTTTACAATCCACATATTCAGGAGTTGGAATAGGTCTTATGAATACCCTACCACTCAAAAAAAGACCCTGGAATCATGGTTACCATGGTAACATGGGTACAAGGTACCCCAAGAACTGTGCGGTAGGTACGGAGTTGAAAATCCCCATGAGAGCAGTGAACAGTGTGACCTCAAAGGCAGCTATGAGGTTGAACATGCGGGGTGGTGTGCTATTCTGCAATTGAGCTCAGGAATTATCCAAGCACTAGGTTAAGAACAAGCATGGAGCAGTTAGGGTGAAGTAGCCAAGGGGGAGGGAGTGCAACTCTCCCTTCCACCTTGGGAACCCTACCCATCTTCATGGCCACTTTGCCCCGCCCCTCTGAGGCATGTGAGCAGAGCCTCACTATAACACTATAAAAGGTAAATACATGTACATGTATGCCTCATGTGTGGTGTGTTTGTAGCGTATCACAACTCCAGTCTCCATGCTTTTATCGTAAATAGTCTGGATGGACCTCTCTTGTGACAAATAAAGCCTGGTTTCCATATGGTTGTAACAAACACAGACAGTACATAAAGACATCAAGACGCAGGCAGTTGCGGAAGAGACTCTGCATGATGCCATTTCACCCGAAAATCCAACCAAACATCCTCTGAAGCGTAGAAATTGGTCGCATAATATGCTCTTTTTAGGTGGCAGTGCCACCTCTTAAAGCCAGGCTGATACTCCAGTGAGATGTATTTTTGTTTATGGTCATATATTTTGTTGACAATTGGGGCTGTATGTGTTAGTCATAAGGAGCAAATAGGCAAAACAAGTAATGCTAAGTGAGAGAGACGTCGTTCTACAATTGTCATGCCAGTGTGCATGTTTGTATAGGCCTTCTCTGGCAACTCAATGCAGACAGTCGGCAAACATTAACCGGATCCAACTTACCCGACTGTCTGCCTTGATGTTTACGTTAGTTACGAAGACTCATGATAAAGGTTTCTTTATCCTTGTGTGTCATCGGGGACTGATTAGCAATGCTCTCTGCATCTCTTTACGTTGAAAGGGAAACAAGGCATTACACATGCCCACACAACAAGTGCAAAGTGCACAGTAACTGCTAATTTTGCTCTTAGTCCAAAAGATCCTTTCTTTTTTTGATTGATCTTTGATATGCAGGGGAACAAGCCAAACTTCTTCGCATGAAGATTTCTCTGAATATGCTCACCATGGAATACCTTCGATTTACAATAGTGTACCACCAAGAGTTTGCAACGCGTTGGCCAATCATAACACGCGAAATTTGTCGACCCTTTCCAAACACGCATTGGGTCGACAAATTTTGCGCATGGTGATTGGCCAACGCGTTGCAAACTCTTAGTGGCGCACTATTGTGAAACGACCGTGTTGTGATACACGACCTCAATCAGTGATCCAACGCTACAGTAGTTCACTGACCCTAGAACCCGCCCAGTGGATAGAGTGAACCAGCTTAGCGTGGAAATCAAGCTGATTTTTCTACAGTTCTATACCAATGAATGATTTTTTTGACCAGGCCAAGATTGGTTGACCGTCATCCCCACTGCTGGAGCCATAGGCCTAGTGGTCTACTTGGCTGTGTCCAAGTTCCAAAGCTGCTCTAGTAGCAAGGACACCATCGTCAACAGAAGCATCAAAAAAGACGTGGAGAAGGTGGTGGACTCCTTTGATATAGAGGACCTTGGAGATAGCACAGCATTCTGCCGATGTTGGCGGTCTAAGAAGGTGAGGACATCACCCAAGGGTTTGGCATCAGCACTACAAATCTAAACCTACTCTAAATCTCGCTGAGCAGCAGAAGAAACTGTTGTTAATTAACTTTGGCAGGCATTGCATTGCAGGGGGAATTGGGGACACTTATCGGCCTCCCCCTCCCCCGGGGAAAAAATAGGATTTAGTCTGGTTTATAGTTGGCCTGAAAGCGTACACAAATGTCAAATTGTGACATACATGTAAGGTCGAATGTTTGCGCCGCAAATTTGCAGAAGTTGAACACAGCTCAAGGGAATTTTGCTGCAAATCTTTCACAATGTCATTTCTGCTTTGCTTTTGCGTTTGCATGAAGTACGAACTTGCCTTCAGTGAGAAATAGTTGAGATGATTTTTTTTTTGCGGCTGGCCAAGTATTTTGAAAAATCAGTTTGAGTTCAGCTTTTTTACTTTCTCATCACCCTCGTGCCTTTCCTATATGTTTTTGTTTTTAATGAAGTTAAAGTGTACACAGTGCTCTGTATGCATGTGTAGTAATGAGCATCTGTCGCACATAGGAGGGCACGGGTTTGTTAGTTGCAAAACACAGCCTCTGGTTTATAACTGTTTTGTCTACAGTTTCCCTACTGTGACGGGTCACACAACAGCCACAACAAGGAGACTGGGGACAATGTTGGACCTCTCTGCCTCTCCAAGAAATCTGGCAGTTCTTAATTAAGAGAATTGGCCAGATTTATGCAAGGAGCAAAGGCGGAATCAACAAAAGACGAGCAATAAATTGGAAATTGCTATGGGAGTGTTTCATTGGTAATTCGAATTTGTTTGTAGAAGTTGGGGGTTGTAGGTTTCTTTGAAGTCAAAATGCCATTGACATTGTCAAAATGCCACTGACATTGTCAAAGTGCTGTTGACATTGTCAAAATGCTGTTGACATTGTCAAAATGCTGTTGACATTGTCAAAATGCCACTGACATGGTCAAAGTGCTGTTGACATTGCCAAAATGCTGTTGACATTGTCAAAATGCTGTTGACATTGTCAAAATGCCGTTGACATTGTCAAACGGCATTTTGTCTCTTCATTTTGTGGATTGCACTTGCTTTGTATACATCAGTCTGCACGTTGGTTGTGGAGCTAAACTTGGATTGGTTTACAGAAATATCGTGTGTGTTGGTGTTCCCTTTGCCAATAATATGACATGCAGTCAGAGATTAACTTTCAGTATTGGTTGAAACTTTTCTACAAGAGGCCTTTGTACTGATCACACCACAGTTTGCTTACATGTGCCTTTCTTATAGAGGCCAGGAGATGAGGACAGATTCAAAAGAATCGACACTCCGTAGGAAAGCGTACTTGTGAACAAAACATGGCGTCACCAGTACACAGGCCATCTGATGAAAAGGTGCTACAGTGAGCCAGTTGGGTATTCCAACTGCACATGCCCAAAGCTAAAGCGTGTATATAGGAAGAGCAGCATGCGTGCGTGATCGTCTGTCCTATCAGCACAACTATAAGCTGACTCAAGCACATGCTTTGTTTCCGAAAGACCTTGCCTTTATGAAATGCCGGCTCACTGCACTCTGACTTGGTAGCATACCCCTCAAAACCTTTTGCCAGTACCGCAAGCAACCTCATGAATCTCTGGTTAAGAAAATTGTTATGATCTAGGGTCTGATGCTGACTAAGAAAGCATGATATATGCAAAAACCTACATTTCTAAATGTATTTGCATAAACAAGTATATATAAGTTCAGTGAAGTCATTTTTTTCCCTGGCAAATCCACCTTACTCAAATTTGAAGTGAAATTTATTTAGATTTTGTTGAAAAGTATAATTTCAAATTATTATTTCAAATTGTTGGTATTGAGTTCAAATAAAAATAGCAAGTCAGGTTCCCAACCTGGTTTTTTATTTTCTTGGCATGGATTTAGTTAGTTATTTTTTTGTATATTATAACCGTATATAATTGGTGGTTTGATTTCCAAATTAATGCGTGTAAGAATTATCATGGAAAATTTAATTCAGCTGGAAATAATTTTGACTCGAGATGTATATCTGGATGACAGCCATCTCCGTTATTTTGGACAACAATGACTCGGTACCTCAGATATCCATTTAAAAAAAAATATTGGCATTTTTATGTCTGTCTTTCCAACTTGCAACTGAGCATGTAGCAGTCAACAACTGTTAAGTTGCGAGCATTTATAAACTAACACTTTCAAATGGAACCCCCGCAGTTTGTAGAACATCAGGGTGTTGGTTATGAGAATAAAAAGTGTGATCGATGTTACTTGATATGATGATGATGTTGCTGTCTGTCGTGTACAAAGTCAGGCGTGAGAAAAGTCTCAGAAATAATTCTCTGAAGTGAAATGGTTGAGGTAGAAATAGATGCAGTCTTTTTCATCAGTGACTACATTGACAGAAAATAGCCATGAAAATACTTCACAGGTTTGACTTGAACAAGATGTGTGTGTCAGTTTTGTGCAATGATTTCAAGTCATAGCCATTGTCCTTTTTATGAATTGTACAGTGTAATCTTTTCTCATTCAGCAAGCATGATGAAAGCAAGCAAAAACTGGATTGTAGATCAACCGAGATCTCGTATTTCATCCGAAATCTTGCCAGTGATGCTCTGTTGCTCGGAAGGGTATTTTCCAATTTGCTCAGAAAAGGGAATAATGGAAGTGTTCCCCATGGACGGTGGGAACAAGAACTTGCAGCTACTAGCCAGTGAAATGGAAAGAAAACAAAAATTGTCATGCATTTTGTAATCTTGGGGGAGGGGCTTATTTTTCTCCACATGTAATAGTGGTGATCACGTACATGTCTGGCAGAGTATGATGAATTTATTCAGGATGCTAAATTCAAACATACTGGGATGTGAGTTCAGTTCATATTCTGTGATTTCATACTAGCCATTTTCCATATTAATTTTTGTTTTTAACGTGGAATGAGTGTGACAATAAACTCTTCGAGAAATATAAAGCCTTTTTTTTCTTGAGATTTCCAGACGGTGTTCATTCATTGAAATGCACTCAAACTGCTGTAATTAGTAAATCTAGATAGAAAATTGCAGATATAACATGCTAGAATGACTACTGCATGGTCCTGCCTTGGACTCTCTCCTAAGGTTCTCGGTGAGGGAAACCGGTTTGGCTGTGTGGTTGACAACACACTTTAAAATAAACGCCTACTTTCTCAAACTACTCATACGGAAACGTATTGCTGCCAACGCGAAAAAAAATATGTTGTCTCCTTTAAACGACATAGTTACCTCGTTAAACGAAATACTTAGTCCAGTTTGGAGTCTCGTCCACAACCTTTGTGGCCCTCCGAGTCCGGGTTCTCCGAGGCCAAGACCGAGTCACTGCCATTCGAGGCCGAGGCCACAGTCTCCAAGGCCGAGGCCAAGGCTTTGAAAAACCGGCATCGAGAGCTCCAACACTGACTAAATCGTTTAAACGAGATAACTATGTCGTTTAAACGAGATAATAAGTCGTTAAAAATGATATGCATGTAAGTCGTTTAAATGAGAATTTTTTTCGTGTTGGCAGAAATACGCTTCCGTACACACACACTAGCTCTGCAGACAACTAATTCAAGCCCCATTGAAAACATTGTAAAATCAGCACTGTTAAGGGCCAATAACATGCACGCCAACACCCGTGAGATTTCTGAAACACAAATGAAATTCTTGTCTTCTCACAGATCTTTAAATTTCTGTTCAATTTTTCGTGGGTTAACCAATTACATTTTTAATTGTTCCCACAAAACAAAATCATCCCCCCCAAAGTGATTTTCCGAAGTCTGATCGCAGCCATTCTTCAAGTGCCAACCCTTAACTTTTTGGGGCACTTAGGACCATTTTTCAACCGTAGTTTTTAGCCATTCTGCTATCATATGAAAGCTCAAAGACCCAGGGAGTTGATCCTGGCAAGGATTTACACAATCTCACCATTTTGGGGGGCACATAATCTCTTAGGGGGGACTTTTTATACGAGTGAGCTGGCCAGAAATTCTCACTTGAATGAGTGGTCTGCACCCTGCACACAGGGCAAGCATCGGCAGGTCTGGGGTTGTTGTGTATGTACGTATTGCCGAGAAAGTGTTGATCACGCCCTCAATCGATATCAACCGTCAACTGGTGCACGTGATAGTTTGCGCCGCAGATCAGTGGTTTGCATTGTTGTTTATAATTTCTTGGAATCTCAAAACACTTTACTCAATGAAAAGCCAAACATGCAGGAGAGAAATTAATTATGAACGAATTTGTCCCAATAAGGAGTGCATTGTAACTCCGAAATAATGGCGCTGCAGGTGAAGTATTAAATTTGCCGATTTTGATGCCCCTGATATAAACTATGCACTGGAAAACGGATGGCATTCTTCGGAAAACATACATGTATATAGGTGAGGATCATGAGAGTAGTTTAACCACAAAACCTGGCTCATACATACAAACATGAAAGCTGTGTGTCAAGTTTTTGGGGTATGTTTGTTTACTAAAACAGAGAATGGAAAATTCCCACGGTGTAGCACGCCCCTTCCAGGGGGCACCACTATTTAAATGATTTCAAACGGAATTGTGTAATTAAAGTTGGATTTCGCATAACATATGTAACATCTGAGTAAGTATATGACAATATTTCCAGTTTAGTCTAATTCTAAACCCAATAAAATGATTTTGCATAAAAAATGGGCAAAGCATTACCCTAATTATTAGACAGTCTTGAATCCCCTGGTATGTTTTAAGCATATTGCATAACATTGAATACATAATTTGATCACTCACAAGCTGCGTGATCGGCTGCATGTTTACGTAGCTAGCTGTGATGTGCGCGGCGCTATAATCGATTTTACTACGGCCCGACATTCACCGCCCACCGAGCCGTTTGGTGGCACCGTGGCACACGCCTTCCGTAGTTTGCTCGAACTTGAATGAATGATATGGTCCCGCAAATTCGACCACATTTTTACACCCACTTTCAGTTTGTCTTCCTAAAAATTGGGTAAGTCGTGGACGTCACAGCGGTCTCCCATGTATATTTTGACGTGCATTTTAAGCATTTGAAATGTGGTGTTACTGTAGATAAGAGCATGGTAAGAGTTTGTTCACCTCAGGCTGTCAAATCATGTCGTCCTACTCATGTACAGCAACATGTACATGTAATGTACACTGTACATCATGTACTGTACATGTACATGTACATAGTATTAGTAATGTACAGTCTTTGTGGGAAGACGGTTAACTCGTAATCGTACGATGCTTATACTCCGTACATGGTGACTGGGTAAATCTGTGATCTGTTTAGGTTTGGAAGTAATTATAAAGATGAATAAAGAAATTGACTGAAGCGGGATTTGAACCTGCTGCCTCCAGAATACCGTACCTGTGCTCTACCAACTGAGGCTGAGCTGTCCAGCCCTATGTTCAAATGTTGGTGGCTCTTCCCATTTTTGTTCAGGGGGTGCTAGCCTGAAGCCATTCAGCCGTAGTAGAGTCAACTTTCACTTGACTTTCCTCTAACAGCATTTGCCAAACCTTGTTGTCGGAAACTCGGAATACTTGTACTGTACTGTAGCCCTTATGATACATGTCGTTGAACCTCTGTGAACAATTCCAGTGTCATGAAATTTCGTACGAAACCCCGGTGTCAGTGTCCGGAAACTGGGTTCAAATTCGGCTGAGTGTTCTCTAATGTGGCGCACTTGACAAAATCTCAGAAAATCCTACATAAACATTTTCGAAATTCTTTAAAGTGGATCAATTCTTGTAGAGCAACATTCCATCCATGCACATACCCATCCACAAGTTTGTCAGAGAATTATTTTCGTAGTTCTGTGCACATTTTGAAAATATTCATTTTGCCATCAGAAAAAAAATTGGAAAATCGGCCAAAAATAACAGTTTCATCAGACCTTTGTAGCATGTGCATAATATCGTGATTTATGAATCAGAATATTGATAGTTTGATGAAGTTTCATTAACTGGAATTTGAGGTAAAAATATTGTTCCAGTGAGACACGAGAGGCCAAAAATGAAATTGCGCCACGTTAGAGTAGATCAGCCATAAACCTGAAACACCATGTAGCCAGGGATCACAACCCAATAAAATGATCCAACCTGGGAAATGGTGAACAGGTTTGGAAGTGTTGATTGATACTAAATTGATTCCATAATTTACATATTTATACTAGGGCCTATTTATTTGCCTGGTTTGGAGACATTTTCATTCGTAACGTTAATAGAATGTCATTTCAACAATATTGAGGATAAGTATTTTAGCAATGACCGACCTTCAATTCATGAGATCTGAAACAAATGTAACATTAGGCCAAGGCCCTATGGCTAACCAGCCAACTGAAAAAAAGAGTGGAGGCAGGATGCAACGTTCTTTCCCGCCTTCTACATGCATGTCTTCAACAGCCCAAAATGGTAAGAAGTTTACATTATCATTGTTGCAACGTCCTCTCAAGAATTACCCCCAGAACTCTGGAGCACAGTGGACAAGAAGTCTCAGAGTTCTGTCGCTAGGCCTATCCAAGAATGACTCTTGAATCCTTCAGTAACTTGTAACGAAGGAAGACTTTCCAAAGTGGCAAAGTTAATTTTGATTGATACACACCCAACAAGAAGTTCAAAATTTGAGTGAAACAAAAATGTAGCATCCTAAAAACTTAAAGTAAGGATTACCTGATGTTGTTAGAGGAATTTTTGTGAACATGTTGAAGCCAAGCCATATAATCGGTGATAGTGCATATACATGTAAGTTTCTTAACCGCAACTTTTTAGAAAACAGTGAACACCAAAACGGTGAAAACCTAAGATTTCTGCATGCCTCTAACTGTAGGACTTGTAAAATACATTAAAACTTGACATCAGACAAATAGATCTCTGAAAGGACGGCATCTTCGTAGGAAAATTACAACTGCATATTTAACCCTAACTCCCTAGGGTGTGTGCAAAATCATATTAAAATTGGAGGATTCAGGGCTGTTAGGGTTAACATAATCAAGTAGGTGTGTACACAGGTTACAAATGTTCTCTGCAAGTCTGCATGTGTGCGTGGCAGTATTCTAACCACGGTGGGTGGCGGCGGGCGGCACCACCTGGTACTGCAAATTTCCTCCCGGCTCCCGGGTTCAAATTGGCTGTGTCCCCAAACACAGCTTTTCCAAAAAATGAACTGAAATATCACGGAAAATCATTGAAATGTACCAATTCGATTGTATTTCAAGCATCAGAAAGCACTGAGAACTGTGCTCGCTATGGTTTTCAATCCAAAAATTTACCCGGCACTAAAATGGTCCTAGCTAGAACACTGGTGCATGGTGGTCCAAATATCTTTGATATACGTCATAACTGATGCGCGTCACAAAAATTTGATGTCCAAAATGCTTGTGCACGTGGCAGTCTGCAGGATGTGACGTCATTTGAGAAAGACGTACGGAATTAATATCTTCTGTACCTGGAGAAAAATTGGCAGTACAAGCTCACACTTTTTGTGAAATTAAAGTTTACAAACTTTGAAGTGGGCTTAATTGATTACATTTGTATCTTAAAACAAAAATTATCAGTGTATTCAACTTTAGGAGGTATGTGAATTGATGGGTTCAGCCATTACAAGAAATTGATATCTTTTACATTCTATGCATCTCTTGAGAAACATGCTTTGAAGATTCCAAGGCACCTCCAAAAAAGAAATATGGTAACTCTTGCCAGATAGACCCAAGTTCCTGCCTTGCACCCTTGCAAACTGGGTCATTCCAGGGACATTTCCTGGCTGGAAATGTCAAAATAATCCCCAGCTGGTCTGCTCAATGCATTGGTAGACATCCCCGCATCCTGTTCAACTTGGACAGAAAAAAACGGGCGTCTTGCTTTTGATTTCCTCCACGCCAGTGCAATCCACTTTCACCAAAGATGTTGCAATCGGGCTATTGTTTAGAGGTATCCTGATATCTTTTGACATCAGGATGGGTGTGAGGTATGAAAACATTGTCATTTTACTTCTCCCGGTGTGTTGCAGTTACAGTGCTAATTTCAAATTTTGAGTTATTCTCTACGGATGAATAGCAAACTTAAATTACTCACAAGGGAAATGTATACCCGAAACTGAGCTGCAATCTTGCATTTTTTGGGGGGAGAGGCATGAGAGTTTAATGTATTGTGTTCACATTTGTGATGCTAGATTTTGGGAAATTTTCACAAGAAATGATTTCACACATTCAAGTATGTGTTCTCCCCAACCCCCTGTAAAACTTATAACAACTGTAATTGTTTTTCCTGAAATATAAAAACGCGAACAACTGCAAACTGCCTGCTGATTACAGTGACCTTAAATGTCCTAATTGAAAACAGTTAGATGGCCTGACTTTTCAATCTGTGTTCCAGTTGGCGGGCCCTCTTTTTTAATTGGTAATTTTGTTTTATTTTTCTCTCAATCAATAAGTGCAAGTGATAAATGTTAAATTTAACATAGGCAGCCTTGACAGAGGCCTTTATACAGTTTAGCCATGCCAGAAGTTCTCCATATATTCTCAACACTTGGAGGAAACAACATACATGTACATGTAGAAGACGGATCACTGCGGAAAGTGTTCATTGCCAATCTGCCCCAACGGAAGGATGTAGGAGAACTCTGATATTATTAATTTACAGTTGATATGAAAGTCAATATTTGCTCAGTTACTCGGGGCCAACTTCCTGGTTGTCTGTGAGGCCAGCCAAATAATAGACCCTGGTATGTGTGGGTGGTACATCGGTCAACAAACTTTGGTCCAAGAAGCAGCCTTGCCGTGAAGCCTTCACACCAGGACTACTTATCAAAGGCAGATCTGAAAGATCCACATTGATATTAAGTTCACACGTCTTATGTGAAGCCAGACATTGTATTTAAATTTTGTTTCCATTTGTCGTATTGATTTAATGACAATTTAAAGCAAGATTTTGAAAGTTGATTTCGTTACAAACAAAAGATCCGTCAAACTTATTTGCAATAAATCCTCGTATGTACATGTATGTTTCCTCTTAATAGTGAACTAAATCACCTATTTTACAAATGAATTTTTCAGTGAGGAAAAAATGACATTGTTGTTCAACCTCATCAATTGATATTTCAATGGACATTTCCTTGTTAGATCTTCTTGCCCTTGTAAAATCTTATATCGGTACCGGACTATTAGGCCATGTAAATACCATATGCGTTTGTGTCACTGTTTAATTTTGGGGAAGCAAATGTAGGTCTAATGTTCAACTCAGATAGGCAGTAGTCTTTTGGCGTGAATGAAGTGATAAAGCGTTCCTTGCTGGCAACAGTGTTGGGGAATGGTGACAAGCGGTGAGATACTTGTAGGTTTGTCAGGTCTCATGAGATGTTGTGGGTGTTCAGTTGAATTGAAAAGGTGTCATGAAATTTGCAAAAGGGATATTTGGGCCTCCTCCACGCGCCAAACACCTTGGTCCATAAACGTATGCATTTACTGTACATGTACATGTATGTACACATGTACAGTGCATGTACATGGACACTTAATGTGACTTACGTGTACAGTACCAGGGCGTTATCCTCCCGATTGCATTTCTCACAAGATAACAAGTGAGTCTGAAGTGAAAGTGGCATTGTGCTCAAGGAATGTCAGTGGGCGTAATGGCTTATTCAGAGAAAGCTCTGCCCGTACCACACATGAGCAAGCAAACATGCATGGCAGAAGTACATGTAATTTGCTTGGAGAACGGTTTTTTAAAGCTCTGTTTTTTCCCCTCATTTTTCTCCTAGTGGGGATAACTTTGCTCAGCATTTTTATGTGTTGAGACATTCTACTCTTGTCGCAAGGATCTGGAATGTGGGCCTGGCTCCAATCTTGAGGTCCTCCATCAACTGGCTTGGTAAGTAAGCGCAAGAGGAATTTTGAAATGAATTGGTTATTGCCTGAAGACATGTTGCCTTGAAGCCTTTCATACCTCTCTACCTACTCGCTGGATTGTTCTGAGTTTGTCACTGCATTTTTACTTGATGCGTAAGGCTGTGTGTGGATTACTTTGCCGCAGCTTGAAATTATGCCAGAGCCTGTGATAGTGGCTGTAGTCAGAGACACGGCCTAAGACTCCAAAGTCTTTCGCTTCTGATTCTGTGCATGTATGAAAGTTGTAAAAGTTCTTACTGACATATAATTTCCTTTTTCTTGTTGCAAGTCAGTGTATTTTACTATTACATCAAAGATCTTTGTTTTCATTTTGAAGTGTCATTCCTCTGTGTTGGATACTGTCCTTTTATTGGCCCAGAACGATCACATGAGAGGGCGATATATACACATATCACACTCACCATGAGACATTTCATTTTACCATATGCATACGTGCGCGAAACAGAAGAGTTTTGGGAAGTTCAAGAATGAACATACATATGTACGTGGTCCTTTAGTCAATTTTGTGTGGTGCCCATTATACGTTTTGTGCATAGGCTACGAGGGAATTCGATCAATGATCGCGCTTGTATAACAGACTCGTTCCCGTCCCCGCAGTGTATAAGGTAATGCGGGGACCGCTTACCAGACAATATAAATGTACTCACTGGTACCCGCACTAGTTTCACATTAGTGTTTATGCAATTAACGAAAAGGAGGGAACAGTTTATTTGCATATGCTATCGTTCATGTACGTTAACTTACAGTTTTACAGTTGGGCCAGCATCTTATGAAATTGTTCAGCTTGTTTCTTTGGATAAATTCTTAAAGACAGTAAGCACTCATAAATCTTGGATAAAAGCAAAAACAACTAGTCATATTATTCAACAGTTGTATTTATTCAGACTAAGGCAGTTTAGCCATTCATATGGAGAGTGGATCAAGTGGCCGGTCTCATAACAGTTGATAAAACATCAGCTGGCTGTGCATTACCTCATGCAATATGTAGCTACCGGTACTGCCACATGCATGCCGATCATATTGCTTGTGACTACTTAAGAGGAATGTACAAGTACCATAATAAGGCTGGAGGGGTGTGTTTGACAAGAAAAGTAATCTTAAAAACAAAATCATTGGAAAAAAATAATTGTTTCAACCTGTTTTGACTTTATGACTCCAAAGATATATATGATTGGGATTAAATACCAGTATGTTTGGCCAGTTTTCGTTGAAGACCAGCTCAGGAGAATGGACACTGATGATGTATCATGCCTTCCTCTTGGGCATTATCAGCGTCCATTTGCCCAATCCAGTTTTAAATGTTGGTTTAGGACCGGCCGTTCCTGATATTCATATCACTTCACAGTCACATTGATGTACATGTAGTTTCTTGACCAAATGGCAAAATGCTGTAACCCTTCAACCGCCTACTTATCGACGAGTGCCAAACGGCGATAAAGTCCCACTTGAGCCCCCCTCCAAGGGCTGTCTTATTTTCCTGAGATTTTTATGCAAGCGTATTGATCGCTCGCTGACAGTCAGCTCCGACTCTTTTGACTCGAACAGGGGTTCATTTTGCAGCAAGCTGCAAGTTGTTGATGTGTGTTTAGCCACTAGCCAAGTCTCTGTTTAATCAATGAGAGACCTGCTCATCTGGCGTAGGGATCAATAGTGTGTTATACATGCTTGTTATTAGCTGCCAGTTTGACTGAAAAGGCACAATTAAAAATTTATCATTGGACAGGCAAAGATAATTTGGCTGAGTGCATGTCATCTCTGAAGATACTGGTGCCATTTGTCATTCTCTAATTCAATATGATGGCAGCATTTTTAACCCTACAGTGTATGTAACTCTCCGGGATGTCTGTAAAGTCATATTGAAATTGTAGCACTTAGCTCAGTTGGGTCAAATAAATGGTTTGGTCATTTTTTTCTACCAAAGCTGGAGCTTTCTCAATTTTTCCAGAAGTATTCATTGTGCTGCATAATATTTGTGTTGAAAGAAGCTGAAACTTTTGGAAGAAAGAGAAAAAGCAGCTAAGCCCCATTATTTTTGGAAAGCACATGTACATGTAGGCAATATTTCTGTATATCTGTTTCTTGAACTGTACCTCCTGGGAGATATTACTGTGGACATTTCAGCACGTCCTCCTTTATTCCCGTGTTTAATCTTCTTTTTGTTTTGTACACAGACGCATCGGGATCATTTAATTTCCCACAAGAAATTCCTAATTACTAAGCTGACAGCAAAAGCGGGCTATTGGGGGTAGGGAATCTGCTGGATAATTTCATTTAGTGTCTGGCCAGAGAGGTCATCCACGGAATGGGTAGGATTCCCATGGATTGTTTGGAAGCACTCGGAGACATGAAGTGGTTGGCTATTCAATTAGCGGTGTTTGCCAGGTTGCAAGAGCTTGCCCTGAAAATGGAGAGCTGCACGAGCAAACTTCAGCTGTTTGCTTTCACGTTGTGTTGTGTACAATGTACATGTTCCACCTTCTAATTTAGCTTAGGCTAAACAAAAAAATAGCTGTATTTCCGGTTACCCGACCCAACCCAGAAAATCACGCGGAACCTATGTCTTTTTATTCGAAAAATCAATAAAATGTAAAAACTTACGGTGCCTTGCCCCGAGCCTAATTTTGTGTACATCATCCTGTACATTGTATTGTTTAATTTTGTTTGTTTTTGCATGAGCTGGACGGCTCTTGTGTGTTTGTATTTCAACAACCAGCTGCTTTACTACTCAATCACAGTGCTGATATGTAATATTGACGTGCACAGTATGAATCTGACACTATGTACCTGTTACAAATATACGCCCCCCCTTAAAAATACAGACCATCATCCGACCCTAATTTTTTGGGTTATGAAAATTTAGAGTAAAAAAAAAATTGTACGCAACCAACCACCCTAATTATTTTCCAGTGTAATACTGTAGGAAACACAACTAATTTTTTGTTTGGCCTTAGCTTTGGGAACATTGGTCTCTTTGATAACTTCATACCATTTCTTTACTGAAAAGGAAGTGCTGTACTTTTCCATTGTTTCACAGGCTGGTTGCCAGAGTGGATCCAGAACTAAATTTTCGGGGAGGACAATTTTTATTAGAGGGGGAGGTGAACAATGTAGAAATATTGTGATTTTTTTTATGGCTTTCTTAGGGTTGGGGTTACATTTTGGGTCATTTTACCTGCTTTTGGAAGGAAGGGATGTGAAATATACCCAAACATCACTAGTACCCTTTTCATTTGTTTTTCACAAAAGTTTTTTTTTTTGTGTGTCAGTTAATGCGACATTACCAAGCACCAACATCCTTCCGATGCTCCAAAATTTTGTAAAAATAGAAAAATGACACTTCACAGACAGCACTGAAAATCAAAATGAACACCTGGTCCTGTTTTGGCACAATTTGTGGGTTGATTTGAAGCTTTTTTTGCTTGTTTATGCATGCAAACATGGCAGCCTTAGTTCACATCGTGTATGTACATCTTGTAAGTGATGTGTGGAGTGTACCCTGTATACCCGAATATTGCTTATGTCACGGAGGCAGGGGCACAGTATGGACAGTTTTGCAGGTTAAGACTAATAAAAAGGGGGCTGTTTGTGGGGTGTTTTTGTGGCAGCAATCAATTCTGTGTTTGTACTTGCTCATTTTCCCTCTCTAGCTCTATTTTGAGAGGCAGCACGCGTGAACTCTGCAGCACTTTTCCGGGCTAAATTATCTGACTTGATGTCCTTGCACCACATAAGGTCAACGGTAGACCTCTCAAAGATAGTGAAATTATCAGTCTGGCCTTGGACCTGTTAAAAGCGTAAGGTCGACAGAATCTGGAAAGCATTGCCACACGTCCCAATTCTCCAAGCGTGCTGCGGAAACATTTTCAGGTTACCAAATAAGGCACTGGTAACAAGACTGTTCTACAGAAACTGGTCCAGTAATTCAATCGCACTCGTGTGTCTGCAAATCCATATCACACAGGGGGGTTGCTGTCAGATGGGTTAGGACGAGGCCAGTGTTGCAGTGTCATTGTGGAAGCCTCCTTTTTTTTTGGGACAGAATATTTAGCGGTCCCTTGTGGTCCTGTGGCAGGCTTACTTTCATGTTTAGAAAGCTCGTAAGTTGTAACATGGACTTCAGCACTGTGGTGAAGGGGAGTCAGTCAAATCATTCAGACTTGGAAAGTATCGTGTTCCTGGGTGCAGTGGATGTACATGTAGTTTTCACGTACCGGTACATCAAAATCCAGTAATTTTTTGTTGGGAGGGGATTTTGGCCTAGAAACACAATTTAGTAAATAAGGTCAAGCAAAAACAAGGCAGTGTAAAAAACAGGAAAAAAAAAAAGAAGGAATGACATGATTAATCTTGATTTGTAGTTATCGTGATGGCAATGACTAATGATGTACTGTATAAGCTAATTTTGGCTTTCAGAGCACGATTTCCTGCACTGTTCAATGCTGTTCCTCTTAATTCTCCTTCCTTGGAGATTTGACTTGAGATGGGACGTGTATTGGTAATAAGAAGTGATGTACATGTACGTGTACATGTACATGTACTCCTAGAATTCCCGTACTTGATACACACTCCATGTGCTATTTAACACTTCTTCAGCAGCAAAAAGTCAACAACAACCCTGCTGGGCGAAAAGTTTCACACTCTCACACGTGCTGTGTGCGATTTTACACCTTAACTGCCATGAAAATCACAAGGCGGGGTCGAAATGCTCCGAGAAATTGACTGGACAGAAGGAGCCTCAAGGGGCTAGCGCATGCTGTGATGATCAGCCGTGGGAGCTGGCAGAGACTCTTTCAGTAGGCAGGTCAACTGGGCTATCAATATTTTCAGCCAACTTGGCATGCACACGGTACTCACACACAACATGGGCCGTTGTGAAAATGAGGGTGTACTTTGGAGTGGCTTTGTCAAAACATAAAGCACCTAAAATGAAATGACAGAGAAATACTGAGATAACTACTCAATAATCTCCTCTTTACTATCCTGTTTTTAATATTTGAAATGAGGTTAGAATAAAGAAGGTATGGCGATTTAAAAAACGACCTTCTTGTCAGAACAGCTCTGTGTGACGTACAACATCGCGAATTGGAATAGCGTCGAAGCAAGCTGTTCCCCCTTATGATCGTATTCTTTGAACGATTCCGTTGTGTTTCATGTGACCTACGACCCTGGAAAGGCTATGTTTAGATTCGTTAAAACCACTGCAAATGCACCACGACTTTGAAATTTTCCACAATGGTGACGCGAAGTGGTAATCATTGATCAGGTAAACCATCCATGTTTTCTTACAAAATGTGGCATAATTAGGCATTTTGAATGTTGGAAGTTAAAATAGATGTGTTGATCGTCAGTATGAAGTACGGATTGCCGAATTTTGTTGTGAGAAACACTTAGAAACATCGCCCACTGATGGTTTTCCCAGAATCTCCAATTTTTGACATGTAGAATTGGAAGCTGTGACAGACTTAATTTCCTTTGGTTGATAATGTGTGCCAAGTCCCCTTTAATATAAGCCAAAATTTAAAGCATACAGTGCCAAAATATTCATAATTTCTTAATTGGAAAAACGAATTTATTGATTTGGAACATTTTTTTAAAAATGGCAGAAAAACACAATAAATGTGGATTACTTTTCAAAAATTCTTTCTGTTCTGTGATTGTATTTCATTAAGATGCTTCACGAAAGCTGCAATTTAATCATATTACAGAAACTTCAAAATTTTAGTGACATGCCTACTTTCAGGACCAGTATGAGCACTTGTTGACAAGTGCACGTGCTTGATTATGTGGGATTGGAAAAGGAATTTTTGAAGGTTCTTGCCATAAATACAAAGAGTGCGGAGCCGGATACATGTACGTGTATCTACAGTGTACATGTAGCAACAGAAAGTGGTAGATAAATTCTGTACATTGAAGAATTCAACTACATACATGTATGTACACTGTACATGATATGTACGTACGTGTACCTGTACATGTATGAAAAATTATGGAATTGGCTGTCTGGAGTGGAGAGCTACATGTACATATACATATACATGCATGTACATGTATGTACATACATGTAGTTGTACCAAAAGAAGTTCACACTTACCGGTTCATGTACATGTTGCCTGTCTGCAACAATCAGACAGGTACATGTATCCGAGGGGCCTGAAGCCCCCTCCCAAAAAACAAAATTCCTGGAGTCACCCTCCCCCCCATGTCACTTTGGTGCTATGGCAGTATGGACATCACCACAGACCAGTCTACTACACACCCTAACATTTACAAAGTAGGCAACTCGATCGCATGCAGGCAGGAAGCAAATAAATGATTGTACATGTAACTCGAGCCTGAAGTTTTTTTAATCTCCTTTCATCAAAATGTCTTGTATGAGTCACGCGTTATTGCAGTTGCTGCTAGGCTATTACAAAGTGTCATCTCCAATATAGTAATTATTTTCCCGCATGAACACATGTACATGTAGCATCTCTGACAAAGACGACGAGTGTTTATTGTCACTGAGGGTTACACTCTAGAGCCATGTAATTGAAGACATTCCGAGATGGTGACTTCCTTGATATGCACGTGAAATTTGCAGGGCAGCCGACAGTGCCCAGACTTAATCATGCTGCTCGCACGCGACTCCTGAATGAAATATCTCAGACGTATCATCCCACGGACGGTGCACAGTTTCATCTGCCTGGCCTCCATGGTTGTACCCCTTGATTGATGCTAGTTTATGGCATATTTGTGATCAGTCTTAAGTCCAGACATGTTTTGATGCCGCTGCACAGCTGGCTTTCCAAAGTAAAGCCTACTCGTGCTAGTTCTTGCTCATTATGCGTGACACATGCATATGTATGCCTACAGGTGCTATTGTACATGCCACATGTCATCGTCATTGGTGTGAGACCTGCAATTGCAAACTGTCACGCATTAGGCCTACTTTATCTTCTTTGATGGAAAATATATGAGAAGCATCGTGTCATCATATGTATATGTACTGGTACATGTGCCGGTGCGTTATCTTTAAATTCTTGAACTTTGAAAATGCTCGAAATATTTCAAGAATATAAAGAATGTGTGAAGTGACATCAATTGTCCTGTTTGTTTTTGGGGGCAAGTTTGTTTGATGTTGAGGTCTGTTTGTGTCAGGAAAATGTGGTTTTCGTTGTCTTCTGTCTTGTCTTCATTGATGACTTTGTCTGTCATACAGTAATATTGTAATGGCAATACTCCGTAGCACACTGTTGAAATTAAGTTGATACCAGTGCCAATGTTTTGTTTAGTTTCAGGAATTTGTGCCTGTCGGAGCCTGTTTCCACGGTATTGTTGGCACATCTCGTAAACATTCATGTCAAATGTTTGATGCTCTCTGAAAAAAAAGGAGAGGACATATCCAGATAAGGGAAATTCAACCTCGTTCGTCACACCTGAGCAAAGTGGAGTATAAATCACTTGCCTGCATGTGTAAGTGTTTCTTGTTATGCATCTTGTTGGACTTGCCGATGGGATTCCCTGGTACTTTGCACTACTAACTTTTGGTGACCTGCTCCTTGTCATTACAGAAATCAAACACCGATATCCCAGCAGGGGACTCACAACAATTCAGTGAATTTGAAGTGGTGTTATTTATGAACTTTGGTTAATCTTTTTTTTTTCTCGCAAATGTTTTTGTTAGATAAATTCAAGAACGCAGACTTCATAGTTTGGGTCTCATTAAATGGCAAATGATTAAATAATTGAACAAGGTGACATGCAGTTATCAAACTTGTCACCAAAGTCGTACATCTTCTGCTCGGGTCAGAGTCCTCACTCTATGATTACAGTGTATACAGTGTAAATTGTGAAGTGCTCTTAGAAAATTACATTTGCGGGCTTTATATTTTGTTCAAGCAACATTATCTCTGTACAATTGTAGTGCCTCATTGACGTCCCCACATTGTATAAATTTGTCCCTGGTACGTTGTAAGAGTGCATAAATTCCAAGTACAGGTAGAACAGGTCAGGATCCAACATACATCTACTTACAGTTGGTTTCACCATAGAGCTGCAAACCCAACAATGTACCAGTACATGTATACCCTGTACAGCCCTAACCATGCTGAACCCCACAAGGTTATGCAGGATTTCAATGGTCCTTAGGGGGTTAGTTCAGTGGCTTATTATCCTCAGTAGTTCACCATTTTTGTTCAAGTGCTTCCATTCATTATGCATTATGACTTCATAACCATTAGTGAGGGCTTGAGAAGAGACCTCCCCCCTTCCCCGTAATTGATAGTAAGTCGTCCCTTAGGCTGATCCTGCTGAGAAGATTTTAAAATCACTCTCTTCAGATCCGTGGATGGCTTGGCCAATTCCGTTCAGCACGCATGTACAGGAAGAGTTGCCACGGGTGCACATCAAATTTCATCAGTTGCTTGAGTTGTTGTCTTCTGCCTTGTACTGATAGCGTACTGTAAACATGCACATGTCACGGTGCGTTAACACAATGTCTATTATGTCATTATGTCCTGTCACCTCTTCTCTAGGAACAGGTGCATTGTAATTGTAATGTTACAGCAAGAGAGCACAGTACATGTAGTTGTGTGTGAAATTGCTTGCGAGTTCATGCATGCATACAGACTGATCAACATTTAAAGGAAAACGTGTACTTTGCTTTGAAAACAGCACGGAACTCTAATCTACCGTATCTTCAGAACTTTGGGAATCTGATGAGAACGTGATATGAAGCTGGTGCCCAATGGGTTTTATTCATGAGATGGTCATTTAAGATTGTGCTTCTCGGAATCCATGTATCATCTTCAATACTCTGAAATGGGAAAGAACCTAGCTACATATCAGGGGTGAGATTTCTCAGCTTTTTAGCTGATTTCAGCTTTTTTTGTTTTAGATTTCAGCTTGTTTCCCTCACTGGCTGTGAACAAAAGTACAGGAGGTTTTCACAGTTCAGCTTTTTTATGCCTTTTTCCCAGCTGTTTTCAGCTATTTTTATCATTGCCCAATCTCATCCCTGTACTGGTAATTATTGTACTGGTAATTATTGTACTGGTAATTATTGGTTTAGCCTCGCATTGATTTTTTTTCCTGTTTGGACAATAAAAATATGACCTTTATCCATAAATTCAGAACTAGCCATCAGAGCAGCAGGATGGTAATCTACAATTTGTCCAGTTATTGCATCATCCCAGTGTGAGGTCCCACTCACAATAGAGTTTAGAAATTACAATAGGAATTGCTTTGCTTTTGCTTCAAGATGGTTGACTTGTACTAAGGCCAATTATTTACGTGTAGTTGGCAGGGCATTATTGTAGACCTGGGCATGTGTGTACATGCACATGTACTGGTAGATACGTGTACATGTATGCGCCAGTTTGTACATGTACATGCGCCCGTACATTTGCCTGTTGGTTCGTTTTGCCACAGGCAGTTGTGCAAACAGAATTATTCTTTTTCCATTTTAAGCAATTTAAAGATTTACTGTCCTTGCTTTTCTGGTGTGGCACCTTATAATTTACTACGTTATCAGACTCAATTGAGGCATGTAATTTTCTGGATTGCAATTGTTCCGAGCTTTCCGGTGCGACGTCACTCAAAATAACTTGTCGTGGATACCAACACAACACGCCAGTGTATACATTGTACACACCGGGATACCGGTATGTACATGTAAGTACATTTACAGTGTGGAAAGTGACCAGTCGCTATGCGACAAGTGCACTTCTATTTCATAGCAAGGAGTGGACAAGTGGAGAAACGCATGATGTGTTATTAACATCCTAGTTTGCATGCCACTTCATATGAATACCCTGTAGTTACAGAAATGTTGCCCTGAACTCTTTGAGCTGCTCTGATTTTGTTTACTTCTAAAGGGCAATGTAAGTGCATAACGGCCTACAATTATGAACAAGCAACTGTATTTGTCACAGAATATCACATTCCTTCTAAATTCCACCAGGAAAGGAAGCTGATATTTTGAAAAGGCAGGGACAGTGCTGTAACTCAACTTACACAAATGGCAAGCAAAACATTGCCAGTGTGGAAGTTACATGTATCTCAAGTCCTGACTCAGTCTACCTGTTATCATTCATCTGTCACCAATCCTCAGCCACTTACCCTGCATTTTGCCAGGGAGGTTGGCACAGACCTGTCTACAGCTCCTGGCTAAAGGTACACGTATGTCTGCAGCTCTCCAAGATTCTCAGAAGAGCGTGTTTTGAATGGAATTTGTGGCTGTGAGCCTTGTTCATTTAGGATTAAATTTGTCATTGAAGATCTCTCTCTATGGGCTTATGAGCATACACGTAATGTACATCCCATAGAACGACATGTAAGGTGATAGATTGAAAAACTTGGTCAAGAGGACAGTGCTTATAAGTTATAATAATGTGTGTTATAGTCATCATCAAGTCAATTCTCGTCTTGTACGTGAACCTTTATACCACATGTACATGTACATGTATACATGCATGCAATTAAACGTGGAGTCTCTGCATTCAGCCATCTTTGCTGGGAGGTTGTTTACATTTTATGTTTGGGAAAATCCTTTAAAAAGCCGATCCTGTTTAGTTTGTGTACATGCAAATGTACACACTACCTTCAGGATATATGTAAAAACACACAAAAGTCCCATTGTGACCATTTCCGCAGGTTCTGGTTTGTACACGGTATGCACTTTAGCAGGTGAAACAAAATTAGCAAGCTAACATAGAAAAAAATTCGTGTAAAAACAGACAAAAGTCCCATTGTGACCATTTCCGCATATTCTGGGTTTGCACACTGCATGCACTGGAGCAGGTACCGGGTAAAACAAAAGTAGCAAGTTAACAAAAACGAAAAATCCATGTTAAAGATTAATAACAAATGTTTATTTAACTGACAAACCACAAACGCAGTGTTGTTGTGGAGAGCCCACCGGTACAGAAGTTCTGATTTACATGCAACTCGTCTGTCATTTTATACACGTACAGGTATGTACGTGTATGTTACTGTTGACACATTGTTACTTGTACATTTACATGTATTTTTGAGATTCTGTCTTGTTCATCTCCTCCGTCCTTGTTGGTCAGCAGTCCCTCAGCGTGATGACCAGCAGACGGCGAAGGTTTCTTGCCGAGGGGTAGAGACCAGTGGGAATTCGCATTGCACTGTCTCCCAGCAAGACTGCTCTTCTCCCCTTGTAAGCCACGCATGACTGCATGGCGTGAAGCCTGTTTAGAGTGCAGAGAGCCTTAATGAAAAATGTCCATTGGAGCAGAAATATTGAGATGATGCCATAGGAGTCTCCAGGTACATGCGCAAATTAATGCGATTGAGATTGATCAATACAAGTGCATGTGCACTACAGACCCTGCAGTTTAAAAAGTCTGCATTTCAAGTGTAACAATTTCTCATTCACGCCTACTAGTATCTAGTGATTACACCAATAAGTGAATGTACACATGGTCTCTTGTTTCTACCTGTTTCCTTTTCCGACCCACCTTTTTTTGGGAGGGGGGAAGATAAATCTGCAACATGCTTTCACTTTTTGTTGCTAACAACATGCTCAGGTGTAGCTTAATACCGGTATGCAAGTTTCAAACCTGTTACTCGGTAGATAGGGTTAAATGTCCCTTCATTTTACAACCGGAATTACCACTGTGAACATCAGTAAAAGATTCCAGAGGATCCATCCGTTGTCTGGGAAAAATCTTTCTAGTATGAAAAATTAAAAAAAACAAGAAAACTTGGCTGTGTCCTCCATTAAAAAAATCTGTACAGGGAAACCTTTTTTTCGTTTTTTTTTTAAAACACAACCATAAGATATAGATGTGTGACTGGTTGATGAGGGTGTCCTTGCAAATCCTGGGAGTATTTTGGGGGGCCAGTGTGCACCCAGCACACAACAGCGATTTGCCTGACTCCCTGTTCCCTGCTTGACTATGCACCCCTGGGGTGAGTTTGTTGACCTAGCTCTGGGGCAGGTTTTGTTGACTTGTTTGGAAGTTGTGGTTTGTGTGCAACATTACACCATAACAAACCATGACTCCCATGAGTATAGTGCTGTACTGACCTTATTCTTCCTAAGGTCACTAACTCAAGTCCCATTATAATTTGTTTTCAATCACAAAGCGTAGTTCAAGGCATGCGCATGTACACGTACACGTATAACATACAGGTACCTATTCAGTATATATAAACTTGTACAGTAGGGAGCTCATGTACCAGTATTAAGTGTCTTACAAACTTTCACAGGTGTTTTGCTTGACAGTTAGTTTTACGTCTCTCTTGATTGAATTTGAAAACCCCGGTTGTTGCCACTTGTAGAAGGGGGAGTGTTGGAGGCATTTGTTCCTCTCCCAGCTTTTGATTCCTCACAACAGAAACACGTCGAGTAAGCTCCACGTTTAGAAACACATTGGTTTGTGTCTGTGAACAGGGTTTTTAGAGCAACGATGAAGGTTTTTCCCACGGCTGGTTTCCACATGTGT